TTGTTCATATGCAACGAGGTTGGAACAAAAGGAGCTCTGATTTAGGATTTCTGCAGGTTCCATGAACATATGAAAAGTTAAATCCAACACATATCTAAACCCTGAAGATTTACAGTGTGTTTCTAGAGCAACATGTTCAAAAACAACCACACCTTTTAATTCAACAGGAGACCATTTTATTTTTTTATTTTTCATATACAGCTAAAAGACAATGTCTCCAATATAAGATTTAGCTCTAACATGCAATAGCCAGTGTGTAACTTGTCAAATTGCCTCATCTGATGCACAAATATTCTCAAAATATATTAAAGCTCCTAGAAGGAACCTTTCATTTTCATTGGTTTTGGTGCCTCAGTTGACAAAAGCGGTGTTTCCACTGTCACCTTGGTCCAGACAGCGTGAAAAAAACACACGTAGCAAGGACACACACCAAGAAAACATGGCCACCCGCAGCTCTTGAGTATTTAATACATTTATACAGGTACTAGAAATCCACACTTCCCCCTCTCTGAGATAATACCAAGTCACTTGATGGGGCTTAAAGTCGGCTGGAATATCAAACCATAACACACAGCTGTTTACAGGATGCCAAGACAATGAGGTAATGTATTGTTATTCTCATTCCGATCTCATCCATCTTGTTGGTAAAACACGTGGAGTTGGTGAGGAACAGACTCGGGAGCGCTGGTCTGTACGGGGTAGTCTTTAGCCTAGCGCGGAGCCCCGCTCGCTAGCCCTGCTTCTGTTTCCTCACCCTCCACCTCAACATAGGCTTTTCCAGCCTGACTGTCATTAATCGTTCCTCTGACCTTGTGGGTAATTCGTCCTGACCACAGACATTGAGAATAGTTTATAGAAAAAAAGACAATTTTCGCCCTGATTGTCTCATTGTCTGTTGCAGCTCATAAAGTAAAATAGGACAGTTTCATAACCAGTTAAAATGGCTTTAAGGGCTTTAAACTGAGTGACCTTTAATACATTACCATCAGGGTAGGCACTGTTCATTCCAGTATATCCCTCGCACACAAACTGAATATGGCCCCAACAAATGGACTATTTAATCATGTCTGATAAAAACTACAGCACCCAATTATCAGGAGATTGCTCAGCCTCAAAACAAAACAAAACATAAAACTCAATATTTGTGACCTATTTTCACAGAATCACATACTCAGTGGGAACCATTGAGGATGAGGAGGGTGGAAAGAGACAGAATAAAAGCATCTTTGGTTTTCTTCTTTTCATGGGATTAGAAGACAGTATGAAAATGTTAAATATAACCAACCTTATCTGTTAAATGTTTAAGTTACAAATCAGAAATGCCCAGCTATTTTCTTTGATGCCTTTTTCAAGGTGATTACTTTTCTGTTTTTTTTAGTAACTGGGTACAACATTAAAAGTGCCATTCATGGATCTGCAGTAATTTAGTTTCATATATTTTTTTCTTCAGCTTTAAAATAATTAAAATGATTAAGTGGCTTGCTTTGCTGTACTCAAATCAATCAGAGCACTTTAATTCCATTCTGATCCTTTGCCACCGAGCTGACCTACTTTATGTCAAATTGCTGAAGCATCTCTCGCTTTCATCTGCTCTTGTGTTCACTCGCCTGCTCTTCCATGCTGTTATTTAGCTCTCTGCTCCACTTTTTCCCAGCTGAGCACCAGCAGTTTCTCCTCCAACCCCCTCCTCCACCTCCTCCTCCTCTGCTTCTTGCTTTCATTATCTGGACAGGTATGCACAAGCAATCCGCAGGCCTGCATGTTGTTTTGAAATGCGATGAGGAAAAAGTGGAACACGCCAATGGAGCTGACCATCCTGAAACAATTCCACCTTAGCCCACAGCTAAAGCTATAAAGTATTGAGATCCAAAAACCAGCAGTGCCATCAGCATAAGAGCAATGGACTGAGAGACAATGTTAAATGGCCTGAAAAAGAAGAGTAACACCTGGATTCTCTTTTTTTTAGAGGAGCAAAGAGGCACAAAAATGCATTTCAGTGAAGAGGCAATGTCTCCTAAGCCAGAAACTGATTATCTTGCATGAGTGAAAATGTGAAACACACACCACGCTGTATCGGATAAGTCACCAGGTGAAATTACCTGAGGGCTGCAGTGCTAGACAGGTGTGCAGCAACCCAGCCAGGGCAGTGATCTGCACACAGCAGCTCCAGGCCCAACTTTTTACCCTTTGTTGGTTTTAACCCTCACATCTGGGCTAAATATTTCCAGAGACACAGATTTGTATCAAATAATGAAGCCTGTGCACTCTCGCCTTTCAAAGAGTTTCTACGAGTTGAAGCAAATCACAACCTCATATTATTATTAACCTAATGCACAATTAGAACCTCAGTAGGTGGTCTGTTCATAATCCAGTTTTGAAGACAAGTTCATGTCCTACTTTAGAAACGCCCAACCCTCAGATTAAACCCTCTGCCACACTGAGACCCTTTTACACATTCCCCGCATGACTCTGCAAACTCATTCCTCTGAAATTGACTACTAAGCTGGCCAGGAGACAAACAAAGCAACCCGGCGATACACGTGCAGGAGCGAGGGCTGTTATTACGGGCCATTAGTGCCACAGTTATTTAGGCCACAAGTCAAAAAGCTAGGAAAGTGACTGTGTCTCCAGAAGATATCAGTGTCAGTGATGTTTACAGGGCAGGTCGCTTTCAGTCAATGATGCCTATAATGATTTTAGCCTGGTTTCGACAAAAACAGGTCAGTGCGGAACACAGAGTACAGACATCAAGTCACGTTCAGGTTCGCAGCAGAGCGTGTGTGTGTGCACGAGAATGTTAAGACCATGAGGAGCACAGGTAACATTTACATGTAGGGGGGAGGAAGGGTGGTAAGGGGTAGGATGAGGGCAAGGTGTGGCATCCTGGATCACTTTCTTGCAACACACTGCACGCACACACGCATCTGCTGCAGATACACCTGGCGTCCACACTACTCTGAAGTTTTTAAATCAATAAAATGCAGAAGCTTGGAAAAGCTGCTGGCCCTTCGTTTTAAAACTCCAGGGCTGTGTTATGGTAAAGACGGGCAGAAACGGAGATGTTTAGAAACGATGATGTAGATAGTCATAACTGTTGTGCAACCGTGGTCTTTTTTTTTCGGCCACGAAAGAAGAAAGCAACCAGCATTGGCCTGAGCTACCAGTGTAGAACACAGCATGAAAAGTGACACTGTTGTCTTTGCTGACAGCTGTTGTTCACTTAAATTCTGCATTTTAAAATAATACAACAGCTCACATGTTGGAGACAAGTTATTATTCAAGCAATCTGTGACAATGTTGTGTTAGTATGGATTAAAACTGAAGTGGAGCCAAAACACTGTGAGGAGATTTGTTTAGGTTTGAAAGCACCATTTTTCAAAAGAGAATGGAGTAGTGTGGATGTAGCATATAGATCTAAAGAGGTAACAAAAACAAGGATACACACACACACACACACACACACAAACACACACATGCTCAGACAGACAGTGTCTGAATGGCAGGTGATGGGGCAGGTGCTCTCCAGACGTAAAGTTGCAGGGGGAGGGAGGAAGTGGGAGGAGGGAAGGGCCCTGCGGTGAGCTATAAATCTTTGAGTGATAAGAGGAGGCCTAAAGAGTGACATCAAATGTGCTGACAAGATAGAAAATTAATTCACAGCTAAATGAGATGAAACAACCTTGAATATTTTTTTTTTATGTATTGTTATGAAGAGTCGTACAGTGAATCTCCAGTCTGTACTAACGTCCTGACGCAATGCTGATGCTAATCTACCACAACATCCAGGTGGTGCATTCGAGTCAGACATGGCGTAGTAAATCAGATAATCCAAAAAACACCCATTGCTGTCTAATTGTGTTCCAGCCAAAATATGCACCTTTCAGACGATCCATAACCACAACACACATGACAGTTCACTTACTCATGAGGACACCAGACATCCTCTCAGCTCACCCTCTTGCTGGACAGCTGGAAAGTGTCTCACTATCACCACATGAAAAGGAGCTGGGGAGCAGTTTCGGTGTTGTATATAAAACTACACCCTGGTTGCCCAATGTCATCACTGTGTTGTTGTTTATCTCTCATGAAGCTGTGTTAACAAATCGACCGGCTGGAGGCTTCACAGGAGTGAACAAACAAACAGAGGAAGACAGAGGGAAAGAAAACACACTCATACACACAGAACCATGTGCAGGCCTCAGTCAACAACCACAAACTCTTGATTCATCTCAAGCAGGCAGAGAAGGTGATTGAGTCTAATGCTAAAATGTCCCAGAGAGTGTGTGTGTGTGTGTGTGTGTGTGTGTGCGTGTGTGCTGCGGCGCCAAGTTTCAGCCATGTACAGTTTTTAACAACCCCTCATCCAACATACTCCAGACAAGCACTTACCTGCCCTGCTCTGCAACAACTCATTGCTGCACTGTAAGCATCACATTGGAGGCTCAGCTCCCTCTACACTGCCTACAGGAAGCTGCCTGCGAGAAACACAAGCGATGCAAGCGGCAACTTCTTCCAGGAGAATAAATGAATAGAGAAGCAAACCCTTGCACTGGCAGGATTTATGCATCCACTTGAGCTGGATATTTGCAACATTTTGTGTTAGTGTCAGGCTTGTACTGAAGGGCTTTGTTCAAATGGTTGGCTTGTTTGGTAGAGAAGGAACTGAAATCCAGACAAACAAGAGTGCAGATAACCCATGTCATGGTGGTATTATTTACTGACTCCCCTCCACAGACAGTATCTACCTTTGTTTTCGGAGCATGTAGGCTGTCACATGTATGCAATGCACCTGGCAGGCTGCACAACACTACTTTCTGCAAGTTGCACCACACAAAGAACAATTTGCACTCTCAGGCCAACAACATGACTCAACTTTCCCTTCCAGCAGCAAAATCCTCCACATCTGAGCATAAAGTTATTGGAAATAAAGTAAAATGTGCGTTTAGATTTTCTGCTTTTATTTTCATTTCCGTGTGTAGAATTGTTTTTCAGTACTGTACCTCATTGGCGTTAGCAGTCTAGTGCGTGTGCTGGCTGGTGGCCAGCAGCAGTGTGTGAATCCAGGCCATCCCAGGGTCAGACTGAGCCACTCTTCTATCCATTGCTGCCTTGTGTTCCTCCTGGTTTCTTTCCTCCCTTCTCCTCCTACAGCTTCTTCTTTCTCTCTTTTTTACAAAACACAGCTCAGACTTCTCAACTCTGTGTTCTTCTTCCTGACACTTCTCCTTCTCATTCTCCTTGAGAAAACAAAAACAGGTTGAAAAACGGCCACCACCACTTGCTGCTCTCAGAGCTACTTACAATGCAGATCCCCTCTCTAAGCTCCTCTGCTCTCCCTTCCCTCTCCTTCCCCTTTCCTCCCTCCCTCCTTTTCTCTCTCTCTCTCTCTCTCTCTCTGCTACTGTTGGGGAGGTGCTCTCCCATGTTCTCTTTCTCCTCCCCCTCTCGCCCATCCTCTAACTCTAATAGTTATTTAGTGTCTCATTTCAGCACCTGCTTTGAGACCCAGACGAGGGAGCTGACAGAGATTTTGCTCCTCAGCTGAATAAGTGTGCTTGTATGTTTTGTCAGAGAAATTGTGTGTATTGTATATATTTGTGTGAGGTGAAGTCACCCAAAACAAATTCAGAGCACCAATCCATGCATGCTAGTGCAAGTGCACATTTGCATGTTTGTCTTTGTGCATGTATACATTTGCATCACTGTGGGAGCAGATCTATTATTGCCTGTGGCTGTGTGTGGTGTGTGTGTCTGTGTGTGTGTGTGTGTGTGTGTGTGTGCGTGCATGCGTGCGTGTGCATGTATCACATGCACATGCACCAACATGGAGCTTCCACTGAAAGTCTGACTGTGAGATAGAAAAGATGGAAAGAAGTTTCTACTTCCTCAACTGTTTCAGTGCTGCCTGACGTACCAGCTACATTCACTAATCAAACATGAAAAGAATGGTAGTGGGCGGTGGTGGGTGAGAATTTTCTAGCACAGCAGTTTACACAGCAGTGTTGGAAGTCTAATTGTTTCCATCATTTGTTGGAGGAAAACAGGGCACTTAAGGCCTTTCTTGTGTTTTCCCCCTGTATGAACATTCTAACAAGAAAAAATGTTTTCTGGCTAAATTACTGAATTTGTACCCTTGTTTTGCATTGGTAAAGATGTAAATTGTAAAATATGAAAATATCAATCCACTAATTTCATAAATCTCTGTCTGTATGAGGTTTGCACATCTTTGAGCATCGTCTTGACTTCACACTTGGCTTTGTTTTGCAGCCAAAGAAGACCAGTGTCGAATTTTGTGTAATTTGGACACATGGCACATTCGATATTGCGAAGGTTTGAAAAAAACAAGCGGCCAGTGCTCTGCAGTAGCTGCATCATCAGGGTAAGTGACTTTGTGGATCACAACAACAGCACGTTCAATACAACAGCAACAACAAATGATTCTCCAGTTCAGAGTTCTCTGTAAACACTGAATAAACAGGAGAGTAAGCTCTTAGTTTACACCTGTGCACAACCGAGGCTCAGGGGAAGCTCCTAACAGGAGGCTTGAAGATGGAGGAGAGGAGTCAGAAAGTCGTGCAGCAGATTTCCCCTCTCATCTGCTTTTTGTCTTGTTTTCTGTTTGTCAAATGTAGGCAGATGCACGTATGAGTGAATGCGTTTAGTGAGTGCAGCAGCAGCGGTGGTGGAGCAGCTTCAGGTTTCTGTGGTCGGCCTTTACACTATCACTCAATTACAAAAACTGCATGGTCACTTTCACAGCAAGAAAGCTGCAGCCAGCATCACCACAGGCAAAGCAAACGGCCCATTAAACAAGCAGGTTTACAATGGCCACTGCATTTCAAATTGGTCATATGATAGATGTGCTGTACACAAGTATTTTAACCCCCAAGTATTTAATGTGTGCTGGAAAAATCTTCTTTTTCCACATTGTCAGACAGTATCTTTTATTGTTTCTAAGCATGTTTCACATCTAAACTGAAACTATTGAAGGCTCAGGTCCATGTTATTTATGGATGCACCACCCAATAGAGATACTGTGAATGACTTGTCATTTTAACAACAACATTCAGCCTTGTATGTTTTGACCTATTTGAAATAAAGTTCTATGTTTAGATTAAAGCATGAGTTTGTGAAGACTCACCAACTGACAGGGCTGCAAGGTTCACAGGTTTTTATTGGGGTAATTTAAATATGAACATTTATGTTGTTTTCAGTATAAAACCTTGAAATATTTGCATAAAGGTGGATGATAACTATGTATCATTGATAAAAACAGGGTTTGTATGATTTGATACATGAAAATGCAACAATGTGTTTATGAATAAGTCCCTCTCATGTGCAATGTTGCATTGTCTCGTTCACTGCAGAGATAACGTGTGCTTGACTCAGATGTCTGTTTCGCATCTCCCTCCCTATTCCACCAGAAGGTGAGAGAGGCAGCCGGTGTCCACCGTGCATACCTGTTCACACTGACAAGTACTAACTCACTCTTCCTGCAGGCCATGGCAGAGGAACGCACAGCAATCATAACAATCAGCAGATGAAAGTGGCAAAGAGAGAAAAAGGGAGGGAAAAAGAGCATAAATTAAAAAAAATTAAGCAACACAAGGATAAAATGAGAGAGACAGAGGGAGGTGAGAGAGGTGAAAAAGAGGGAGGAAAAGGTAACAAGGAAGAGATTACATAAAAGTCAGGAATTGCCCAAGGGCATTTGTGTGGGTGTGAGGGGAGGAGGGGGAGGAAGAGAGAAATCATTAACCAACACCTGTCTGTTTCTGACTCCTAATAAATCTGTGTCCTGCAGGGAATGAGGCTACTGTACATACTGAGGTGAGATGGAGAGAAGAGAAGAAAGTGGAGAAGGTAGATGGAGAAGAACGATAACATTTCAAGTTGATCCCTACAGCAGAGCGAGTACAGTAACTACCAGCAGACACATCAGCATTTCAGAATCCCACGCTGAGGAGACATTTGCGTTCATCAAACTAGATTTATTTTAATGCAAAACAGCTCACACACAAAATATGTCCTATACTGAGGTACTGTTTCACTCCTGTTTGTACAGTTATGTACATTGGTAACTCTGAAATGCTCCATATGGAGACTGTGCAGATTCAAGTAAAAAGACAGGCATGCTCAGCATTCAGGAACAGTTTCCAGTATGTGCATTGCATGAACATAGTGCATACATTGCAGATGTAAGTGTAGATAATTGCATATTTTTTATCCCATAGTCACAACAACAGATCATCTGCTTTTACTGGGCAGGTAACATAGTCTAATCGAACAGCTTTTTGAAATGAAATCCTAAATGTTCTTCAACACAGAAACACAGGAAGCTCCTGGATAGTGCAAGCATACTATATGTTTATCTTATGGTCAACAGTTATTATAATTGTAATTATATAATTGAATTAGTTAATTATATATCTACCTTTGTTTCTAAGAAATCCTTTGATTTTAAATCTGGTTCCACAGGGAAAGATAATTTACAAACGATACCCATGAGCTTCGACCTTTGTTGCTATGGAGAAGAACCTGGTCTAAAATCTAACTGGTAACGAATTCAAAACACTTGTTCCAGAACAAAATACATAACATACAATTTTTCCATTTATTATTTAAAAAAATGCACCTTTTGAGTCCTTGTTATAGTTTTTACTTAAATGTCCAGTGTGTAAGATTTAGGCAAAGGGATGCATTGGCAGAAATTAAATATAAAATAATCCTAGTGATGTTTTTTTTTTTTGTCTTTCATCTAATTTTATAATTGTTGGTTTCTTTACTCTTGAATGGGCCCTTTACAGTAGCGCAGACTGGACAAACTAAACACCTTTTGAGTTAGGTTATCTTTCATGTTTTGAAGGAGAGGGTGAGGTGAGGGGTATTCACTGCAACATGCAACTTTGCCACTAGATGTCACTTCATTCTACACACTGAACCTTTAAACAGGCTTGTACCCTTGTATCTTTTGACAAAAAGAACCAGATATTTGCGAATGCAGTTGGACATGATTAATGTCCATGATGATTAAACCAGGAGTCTTCATGCAAAAAAAAGAACCAAACTTTTACTTGCCTCCACATTATGCACCAAACAGCTCCTCTTGCTATATAAAACTGCATTATGGTAAACATTAATGGAGTCTGACCCACACCACTGGTCAGCCTCTGCTGTATTGCCCTGTCAGTGCATAGTGTCCCTTTAACATTATGGTATTCACTGTCATGACTCTATGTCATGATAAAATCTGTCTCGCCCTGAAGAAACCTGATGACAGTGTGCATTAGATATGCTGCAACTCTAGTTACCCAGTAGAAACACATATAATACTGGCATGGATGTGGTGTCATTGTGGTAGATATTGTGCCTGTTACTTTGAGAATGTTTCATTTTTACATTTCACCTTGTAAATTATTTATTATGTGTGTGTTGTATTTATGTGCATTTTTATCAAGACAAAAGAATATATAAATGCCCTTGTTCCAACATCTTACTACAGTAATGCTGAAGTTACCAGGAAATTATCAAACTATTTTAATTATATTTTTATGATACGTTTGAGTTGCTGTAGTCAGTACCCAGTGTGGATAAATGGTCCTTTTTAGATCAGGGACAGATTGTGAAGATAAACTGATATATACTGTAGTGTATATACCTGTTGATCATAATGTTTGTGCAGCAGTATACATTAGTGACAAAGAATCCCAGTGCTAAGACAGTATTTCACACAGGGAAAAAGTTCATTCCCAGATGCAGAGGTGTGTCTCTTACTCCTCTGATATTCTCTCCCACCACAGCTTTTCCATGATAGACTCCTAACTCATGTTTCCAAAGGACGTGTGGCTTGCTTCAGGGGAGGCAGTGCAGTTGGGTTTGGACATGGCAGGAACCGGGAAGGAGAAGAGAGACAGGAGAGAGAATCAGTTGTGACAGACTAACTACTGTAAGAGGTATGAAGTTCCAGAAAAAAACGCTGACACCTACAATCTTTGCTGCAACATGCTACTGAATTACAGCCTCCAACCATGATCCTACACCCTGGTGACACATACTGGTCATAAAAGTGACACAGGCAATAAAACATGTTCTTCAGTTACTGTGAGTTTGAAGGCATGATGAATTTCTATGTATTTACGTTCTTTTCAAGGGTGAGAAGTAGAGTTGATGTCAATCTAATGTTTGATATAGCTAGAGCTCTTAGTGCAGCAGCAGCGGTGGTGTCAAGCTAGAGTCACAGTGTGTTCTGCCTGGCTAGCTTATTTTATTATATAAACTGAGAAAAAAATAGCATGGCTCTGTGCAGAAGCAGCAGCATTCACATCGCAGAACCTATAATGCTCATTATTCAACAAGTTAAAGCTGTTGTACTTAATCTGAACAAAAATACACTATCTTAAGGAGATTATGTGTCGGACTATTGCAATTTCATACCAGGCAACGAGCAGACACAAGGTTGTTTTTTAACGTAGACTATAACATGACATGACAGTGCCTCAAAAGTGAAAACAAACATCTTTGTGGCCACCTAGTGGCAGGCTGTGGTATAGTCATAAATCCCACTTCCTCCATGTTAATGGATGGGTCATGGATCAAACTAAGCGAAAGCAAATGTCAAATTTATTTTTCTTGAAGATAGTTTCTGTCATTTTCACTGTTTCTTATAAGGCTGATGAATATTCAAGTGCTCATCATTCCAGTGAGGAAAAATGCTATGAAAACAGGGTGAAATGTCGTGAGTGACAGCTGAGACTGACTTGTGATTAGTTGAAGGGTTATTTCAGCGGGACCTTGCCACCATGGCTCCACCCCTCCTATCACTAAAGATACTTTTCATTCAAATTAACTGGAGTTAATTTAATTTGATAAAATAATGAGGTCCACCTAGAATTCCATTAACTTACTTGTGATGTACTCACCTGTCATCATCCGGCATAATTCACCACATAAGACACATGACAACAGCATGGGTCAGTGCACAGGGACACACACACACACACAGATGAGGATGAGTCCACACTTTATAGTACTTTCTTCTCTTTCTGAATGCAATGGTTCTTCTTTTTTTGACTTAAATCATTGAGTATCTAAATCTTCAGTTCAACACTGACAGTCAAAATAAGACAACAGACACCAGCCATCGGTCTGTGGATACGATCGAATGCATCTGACATCGATATGTCTGGCTCCGATCCCACACTGATTACCTTTAATGATCATGTTGCGTGTGGTGGAGCAGGTTTATGGCAGCTAGTGGAGCCGCAGGTGCTTTGCAAACACTCTGAGGAGGTGAGCTGGTGGGTGGGTGAGCTTTTAAAAGTCTTTAAAATGTGGAATTCATTTATGGGACTCAAAATCATAAGTGACAGGTTTAACACTGTGTGACCTGTGAACTCTGCCGGTGTTGTTGATCACCTGTGTGGACCCATAGAGACGACATGTATACTGTCTGGAAAACATGTATATGATTCTGATATTTAGGTCAGGTCTCATAGAACTGAAAGGAAGGAAATACGTATTTTATTACAGACGACAAAACAGTGAGGTTACTCACATTTGTCACACTTCAGATTAGTTTTTCAAACATACATTTTATTTGTGCTTTTAAAAACAGCACAAACAAAATTCTGCTCCCCTCATTGTATTGGAGTCACAGCAGATACTGAATCTGAAAAGCTCAACATATATAATAGAAACTTTATTAATGACCTTAATGGCCTCATATTTCCCCATCATTAAAATACTGATGTAGGAACCCAGTTGAAACTTCACAGGCCTGTCAGGAGTGTCAGGTTTTATGAATTTATAGTGTATATGTCGTCTGGCATTTTGTGTGTGCGTGTGTGTGTGTGTCCCATGTTTTACTGACCTTTGCTAGCGGTGCCCGCAGAGGCAGGGGCAGCTCCTCGGTTTCGACTCACCAACAGAGCCTCCTGGTTTTCAGCCAGAGCTTGCTTGGCCAAGTAGCGCTCCCTCTTGATCTTCACCTCCAGCGACTCAGGGACGTCAGGTACGATCCAGTCGATGGCTCGCAGCACAAAGAACACCACGTGCTGGAGGAGGAGAGACACGCACATGACAAGATATTAGACCTCCACATCAGACTGAGGAAAAAGACCTGTCCTGTCACAACATCGACAGTTTGAATGGTGAGTAAACAAGTTGGACATCACATAAAATAGGAGGACAGCAGGAGGAGGGGTAGTAGACATTCCAAGATAAGATGTGTTTTTGGGTTAGAGCTGGTATTTCAAGATAATTCCAAATACCATAGATAATTATAAATAAATAATAATGTGTAGGAATTTAACTTTACTTGTGTATCTTAGCAGTGTCAACTAGATAGCAGACATATCAGTTCAACCAAATAACTGAGAGGAGGGTGGGAGGGAAATTAACTTTGTAAGGAAGATGAAGCAAAGGTAGATGCTCGACAGGAAATTGGAGGATGAACTGATGCGTCACAATAATTTTCATTAGCAAGTAAGAGTGATAGTAAGAAAGGAAATGTGTGGAGACATTGAAAAATTACAAAGCACATCATCTACAAAATAACACTAAATGATCTCACAAAAAACTAAAATGCCACAGAGGGTTAAATGACGAAGAAGTTCAAGTGTACTCCTGAAAACAGAGGGACAACTGACGGGAGAGAGGTGGATAATAAATTAAAAAACTGTAACATAAGTCGAACAGACAAAAAACAACAGAGACACTGAGCAGCTTCTTCATACCTCAAAAGCTATGATAAAACCAAGTCTGACAGCGAGGAGCTCCCAGTAGAATAATGTGTGGTTTCCGTCGTTGTCTCGGTACGCTTTATATCTGGGAAAGAAAAGTAACATAATGTGAGTGTGTGTGTGTGTGTGTGAGTGAGTGAGTGAGTGAGAGTGTGTGTTTGGTTAGTGTTTGTGTGTGTGTGTGTTCTGCAGCAGAACAGATATCAGTAATGCTACCCCCTATTGGTCACATCTATTACATGAGGTCAGCATGATACAAACTGAAACTCTTACAAACGTCACAAAGTTTTCGCTAAAATTAAAATAATACAAAACATCTTTTCAAACCAAAGAGTGTTTCCCCAGTACCCTGCATTCATTGAAACAATCAGCTTACCTGCACATTGGATAGTCAGTGAAGTTAAGTGGGGCGTAAGCCAAGGTAAAGTTGACGTATCCGTGGAGCTCATTATCGAATTTGTACTGGTAGAGCAGACGAGGTAAGAAATCAGACGTGAAGGCTATTAGAAACGCCTGCAGAAAGACAAAATATAATGTCAAAGAAAAAACATGGTCATTGTCACACCTGGGTTACCAGTGATGTGCCGTGACGATGCTGATATCTCACATTGGCGATGACGGACAAGTGCGACAGGCCTTCCAGTATGTTGAACCACACTCCGATGTTCTGGGCACGCTCGGCCACCGGCCTCCTATACTCGCACACAAACTTGTGTGCGTCCAGACGGATCTCCACCCAGTTGTTGAGGAGGGCGAAGAGCGGAGCGAGGGGGAAAGCAGCCACAAAGATGGTGATGAACCCAAACTGGAGCACTGCAGCGTAAGAGTCGTTTTTATTTGTGCAATGAAAGACAGACGGATATTTGCACACGCAGATTAAATAGCACCACATTCTTTACATGGAGTTCCAGACACTTACCCATTTCCAGATACTCTTCAAAGAGGCCTTCACACTCCACCAGCTTGTAATCTTCCTCCCAGCGCCGAGGCTCATGGGATGCCTTACCCCCCAGAACCTTGGCCAAAGTTCTCTTCTGGCGCCAGGCCTTCACTTTACTGTCAGAAAAACAAAGTATAATCATTGATTCCAAATAAACATGAACATGGTGTTTACACAGGTTAATCACACGTCAGGCTCATTGACAATTAACAGATCTGAGCTGGTAGAAATATTGTTTTATCTGATTATAATTCGATTTTTTATTTTTTATTTTCTGGTCTTTACCCATGTATTCTGTGATTCAAATCTAGAACTAAGATGTGAGATAATGTATTACATTGCTAACTGAGTTAACTTGGATCAGTGTCAATGATTTGCCAAGAATGTGGGTGATTCATTCTTCAAAGCTGGATTCATTTAGAGCTGTTGTTGCAGTAACATGTCCCTGAGGGTGAATCCTTAAAATGTAGCTGAATCTTCATTTGCTGTAATGTCAAAGCTTCCTTTTTTTCATCCTGAGACAAAGTCACAAGCTTCTTCCTTCCATCTCCGATCCCAAAGACAAACAGACAACCCCATCCTCCATGTTCACTCACATGCTGATCTGTCACAGGTCAAAGCAGTTTAAGTTCAAACCGGTTTGACACAGATTGAGTGCTTTATAGGTTGTATTTAAAAGAAGCCCATGGTTTCTACTCTGTGGCAGCAATCCCCTCAGATTTAAGCAAGAGAGTACAACTGGAAGACGTGTGCTGATCCAAAGAGGAAGACGGTGCCTCCTGAAGGAAGTCCTGCCAATGTCAGGGTTAGATTAAGCCAGTGGTTAGTGACTAGAATAAAAATTCTGCGGTCTGAGTTCCTCAAAGGATTTAGGACCTAAATCTGGATACAACTGGAGTAAAGAAAAAAGAAGTTGAAAACCACTTAGATAAGCATACGAAACCTGGCTGCAAGTCACACACACACTCAGATACAATCAATCATTTAATCAATCAAACTGCAGCGGCACATTAGACTGAACCAGCACAGAGATCGCACAGTATATATATATATATATATATATATATATATATATATATATATATATATATATATTGTTGGTTGTTCAGTTTTTTCTCTGATTGCATGTTTTTGTGCAACATGTCAATTGATATCCAAACACAACATTAAACATGCCATTAATAGCTAATGCCTTGGAAGAAGCTCAAGATGAAAGCACTACTGCAGTATGACACTGGGTGTGATCAGTGTTTCTAATATGATAAGAAGAGGAGCGTCACTGGACTGCCACACATTTGTTATCAGTTTTTCCATGAGCTTTCCATTCTGTTGTCAGTCGCATTCCCTTTCACTGATCCTCATACCTCTCTTTTTGCATGACAGTGCCACTGGTGGTCAAAACCTGGAAGAGCAGCCTCTATCTAACTTTTCTTCTTCATGTTTTGTTTACTACAGCCCCCTGCAACCCAGATTCTGCTGTATTGTCTGGACACACACTGTGCCAGCGCTGCAGAGGAACCATGGTGAGCGTTACTGCACCAAAGGAACACAGCTGCAGTCAGGATGTCGTGCAGTCAAATGCGTCACTTAAAAAACAGCCATGACAACACCATGCTGGTACAGTGTACAACAAAACAAAGAGAATGTGGATCAATATGATTATTGGGTTGGATACATATAAATCCTGTCCACTGAGTAGTAGTAGTAGTAGTATTTGTTTTTATCTTAAATCCAAGAACAATAGAGCAAAAGGGTGATTGCCCACTTTTAGAACGGCTTTGTTTCATTAAGAAAATGTCATATTAATTTTCTCCATTGACGAACCCTGGAGCCATGTCGATCAGCTATAAGATGAGTCGTGACCATTAAACAATACATTAAGAGCCAGAAACAAATATTGGAAAATGGAAAAAAGGCAAAGGTAACTAACTGTGTACATATTTTTTAAAGAGTGGAGAAACTTTGCATCCCATAAACCATTGCGAATGATCCCTATCAAACGACTACCAGTATTTCTTCTTGAATTTACCATTGATGTGGTGACTTTCACCTTTAGACTCTTTTCCTGGTCGCTCTGTGGTAAACGTAGTGTGACGCTGAACGAGCCGATCGTAGCAGAAATGATTTTCGCAGTTATGGTAAACATTTTTATGGTAACAGCAAGCCCCACCATTCACAGCCGTCACTACCAGAGGATTGTGGGTAGAATAGTAATTTTCCTTGACATTGTGACATTGCTATTCTTAAAACACAGCTGATATCATAGGGACTTAAATGTTTATATAAATGTATGCCCGCCTTTATTTTCGTCAGTTTAGATTAATCAGAAATCCCACAGTGGTAAATCAGTAAAATGATACATACGGGATAATGAACTCCTGGATGTTGTTGATTAGTTGCTTTCCCACCATGATGATGAAGAGTTGTTCAGCCAGTTCAATGAGACATCCCCCAGGACCACACTGCAATATGAAAACAAACATTGCATGATCAATAAAATCATCCTCTTTGGACATTTCTCATCCAAATGTAGAAGAGGAGACTCACATCCTCATTTCTCATCCCAAACAAGGTCCCATAGTTGGTCGGGTAACCCACAAACCTGCACACATGCAGAAGTAAGACACTCAAAATCGTATTGGTTGCAGTGTTTTCTTACATTCTTTTCGCCTGACTCACGTCTCACCTTCCTTTAAAGAAAGCCACGTAGAAAGGAGAAGAGTAGAAGTTGACAAACTGGAAGATGAACACCTTGAAGATGAAGGCATTGTCATACTGGGTTTGTGTTCTGTGCATCTCTGTCACAAAGCAAACAAGGATGTACATTGTTAAAGACACTAAACCCTTGATATCAGTTTTACTGTTTGCCTTTGTTTGTTAACTAACCCCATGGTCTGTTTAAAACCTGTCTGATCGTGTGACTCAACTCCCCAATTGACTTTTCATTGCAGTGTTGCAATGTTGATAATGCTGCCAGATGTGGTTGCTATGAGGTGCATCTGTAATTTGTAGAAATAAGCACCAAAAAAGAAAAGACAGAAGGGTGTGACACAGTGTGATCAGCAGTGTGTTACCCTCCCATGCTGCAGTCTGTGTTTGTTTTCCTAAGTGATAGCAAATTTAAGACTTTATCTTCTTTGTGATAAACCTCCACCTTTAGCGAGTTTAGCCTCAGTGAGATGCTGATATCAACATGGATATGACAGAGCAGTAAATTGGCTCTTACCCCATTTAGTGAGCTGCTCTGCTAAAGCAGTGTAGACCCGACCCATTAACAGGATGAGGCCCAGATTCACGATACTACTGGAGATGTTGGCTATGGTCCCAGCCTGATGAGGAAGTCACACACGTATGAATGTACACAGTCTCAACAAACTGGCTCCTTGACACTCAGACCTACAGTATAGTGTATGTATGCATGTAGGATAACAAGAGCAACACTGCCTTCAAAATAAAATAGCATATGCACACATCCACTGTAGACATGCTGTGTAGCTCTGACGTACCTCTGTACGCAGGACGGGGCTCCCAGTGTGGAACATCATCACGCTGATGATTCCGCGACACATGACCACGGTCACCAGGAAGATCATCACCACACACAGCTGAGAGGACAGACACACAGATATTGAGTTAAAACAATGAAGTTGGTGAATTTGATTTTTTAGTAGATGCACACCATTGGCTGCTATATATTATGTGGCCCTCAGTGCTACTTACACCACTGCCAGGCTCAGTTTTAGTAAATAATCACACGAAGTTCACAAGAGTGTAGGGAGCTCTACTGTTGACTGTATTGATCCTAGTGTGTTGCTGTCATCGGAGTCAGAAGAGATTTGTGAAATATAATATAGTGAATATGAAGTTGACTTTTTGTTGTGACTCATAGTCAGTGAAACGACAGACAGTAAGTTGGGTTTGTGAGACCCGATCACAGATATTGTAGAACGCACTGATTACCTATAAATGAATATTATCTTCATTCACAATGCCCACGTTTGTATTTTGGACCTGACTGTCCCATAGCAAATGGTGTTGAGCAGATAGTTCTCAATTCTCACGTTTCAGTTTTTTCCACCAGCACAGAAACACGATTGAGGAAACACGAAAAAATGTATTTATAAAATAGATTCTCTGAATGAGAAACACTTGTTTGCACAATATGCTCATGTTTTTCAAGGCCACTCAACAATAAACCGGTGTGTTCACAGTTTCTGATCTCGGAAGAGAAATTGCTTCATATGAATAGATTGTATTATTTAGATTGTAAATCATATCCAATGAAAGTAACAATTGTTTTTTCAGCAAGAAAGAGTTCCTTGCCTCAATTTCAACCCAACTGAATTTAAATTACAAGACTGATCGGCTTCAGTCTGATGGCAGAATTTTCCACTTCCCACCTTGCTGTCCGAAATAAAGGCTGAAGGAAAACTGATCCTCAGATTCCTGTCCAAGAGGAAGTGAATCTTGGATACAGTATGACAGCAAGTAGCTGAGATTTTCAGATCATATCCAGCCCTGTGGGCAAATGACCTGGATTCATTATTAGAATAGGGTTCAGTTACAACTTTAGGATTCAGTTGGACAGCACACAGGTGTAAACCCCACCTCTCTTTCTCTTCAGGATGTAAAGAGTCAAAAGACACTGAGACTCTTCACTGAGACCAAGAATAATGAGACTGATTATACAAATAAGAAAATGAGAGTTTATACACAGCACATTTGTGGGAGCTGATCAGGATGTTGCATGAAAAACACATCATGATACCTGACTCTTAACAAGTAACTAGAAAAGTCCTCCCTCCCAGGGGGAGAAATTTTGAATGGGTGCCTTGTGCTTGCTGCCCGCTCCACAGAGAGACACATTTTGATAACATGACATCCAGGTTGGTGACAGAGAGAGAGAGAGAGAGAGAGAGACTGTACCAGTTTAAGAGGAGGGAGAGAGACCCTGAGAGAGACAGACATTTATAAAAGCTGCATTTTGATAACATGATCCAGGTTGATGAGAGCGAGACAGACGAGGAGACAAGGACAGAGACCCTGAGAGAGATTTTGAAAATCTAGGCTCATTACAGGTTTCCTAAAAACATCCTGTTACTATGGGGCTTATTTTGAAAATCTAGGCTCCTTACAGGTTTCCTGATAACATTCTGTTACTATGGGCGGGGTTTATTTTGAAAATCCAGGCTCATTACAGGTTTCCTGATAACATCCTGTTACTATGGGGGGGTGGGCTTATTTTGAAAATCCAGGCTCATTACAGGTATCCTAAAAACAACTTCTTATTATCAAAATAAGTCTTAAGATGGACACAAGGAAAGAATGTTCTGCTACCCTAAATACTTCTATTTAAGGTATTGCTACTATAAACAGCGTTTCACCATCATATAACATTGTATCACAATCATGTGACAGCGTCTCACCATCATTATGATGACCATGGAGCCTGTGAACATGCGGGACAGCCTGGTCTTTTCTGGAAAGTAGGGCTCTTTGACCCCAGTCACTGGATTCTGCTCCATAGTTGGGGCCTTGGCTGCAAACTCTGGCCGAGGACGCTCCTGAGGGAACATAGTGATGACATCAGCCTCAGTGGTAATGAGTAATTGACTTTTTTCCTGCATTGTTTACTCCTGGTTGCTTGAGATGAGAAGGCAACATTACTGCAACATAAAAAAAAACTATTGTCCATGGAGGATTGGGAGGTTATTTATTTACCCCTGTATGTTTGTTTGTCAGCAGGATAACATAGAAACTGCAGAACAGATTCTGATGAGACTTTTAGTATGTAAGAAAAATACTGAGTTATCATTTAGGGTTGTTCTGTGGCTGTAACTTCCCTGTGTGGAAAACTCATTGTTAAATCTTGTTAAGTGGTGTTCTTATGGAAAAGGTCTAGAAACCCAGGGGTTTACAATTGTGATGTTAGGAGTTGGACCCTTTTGGTTTGGCTAGTCTTCAAATTATGACATACCTAGGAACCAAAAGACCAATGTGGCCACACTCATACTGAATTCAAAGCAGAAAGGCAGGGTTATGAGACCTCTTCTTCATGGAAGTCCATGCAGTCCCAGTGATGGGCCAGGGTGGACATCTTTCGCTTCCAGTACTCCAGAAAGGTTACGGCCCAGAAGGACATGAACACACTGAAGAGAACCGTACCTGGGTGGTCGAATAAGTAGCCCAACTGCAATGCAGAAAGGTTCACACATTAACTCTTAGTCTATCTCCATTATAATTCATAAAAACTGATTTGTTTACCAGTGAAATGTCTCGACAGTTCTTTACCTTAGCCATGGTGCAGATTTCAGACATGTTCCAGGCGTTACAGGTGTTACAGAGAGGACACATCAGATAAGTGGCTCCACTCGTACAGATTTCCTTCCTGGTGACAGACACACTGATCAGTCACGTCTGAGAAAATATTTTATAAAGCTTTCAGTCTAGGACTGCTTCTTTTCAGATTTTTGATGGATCATGGGGTTAATCACATCTACTCAGAATTATTAATGGGAGAGACGAGAGACACATACACAGAGATTTTGCAATGGGGAGATTATTCTGCACTAATTGTGCATTATCACATGAGACGACTGCAGTTTATTGCTGCTGGAGGGTGCTCTCTATCCATTCTCCATTAATCAATGGTTTTAATCTACAGCGTGAACTAATGAATGTCATGAATCTGAGCCACTGGATTGTTTTCCTTCCTAAAGTATCAAGTTTTCTTTCATTCTCTCTAACCTCCTGTGTTATTCACCATAGTGGGATGAATGTTCTTTCACTGGAACCAACAGGATGTCACAGAAAGAGACTGAAAACACAAAACAGATGCTAAGTCAATATTAGATATACACAATATAGAGAAGCCAGTCCACAGTGCTCTGAATAATGTATATGACACTAAGCACAGACATACCTCCTGTGAATTGTATAGTAGTTTTTGTTTTTGTGCAGACCAGACTGTGTTTTTGGTATTTGAATCTGAAATCGTTCTTGTTGGACATAATGTGGGAGGAAAGTCATTTCTGGCCTAACGTTTTAGGAAATATACTTTGTTTGTCTTATTAATGGTTAGATTGATACTAATCTCATGCCTGAGTGTTGACTTCAGTGCTACGATGTGGCTATGGTGCCAGATAACACATATGGACTGTAAATCTATATCCATATACAGTAGTTCCACTGCTGAACAGACTATGACATCAAACTGCCTTTTAAGTCCTCAGTAAAGGATAATGGCAAATAAATATGTTTCCCTTCATTTCCCAAGCTTCTCTCAGACGGTGTTTCAAAGACATCACTCATTACACGACATGATAATGCAAACAAACATGATCAATTCACCTTGACTTTAAATTTTGTGATAGAAGTATTCAAAGTTTATTTATCTGTCTATTTCTCAACTATAACTAGAACATACGGTCAAAAACAAAGAACACAAACGCGTATAGAGGTAACATTAGCCACCCTAATGTATTGGTCATACCAAACCAAGTAAGGCTTTAGCAGAAAAATGTCAAGATGTTATTGTTTTTTTATGAAGTCTAAAATAGTATTCTTTATTTTATCCCAAACAAATACCAGATCACAAAAACATGTTATTTCTACAAGTAGAAAAAGGCAGACAGGTCAAAAAGGTTTATATAACATATTTGCTGTTGTCTCTCAAGAGATAAAATAATATTTATTTATGAGTTGATGTCTAGATATGTCCTTTCCTGATTATAATTTTATGTCCTGGGGAACATCACTAACTCACAGTAGCTCTCATTGCTTCTTGTTTATTTGGTGATGATAGAAACTGAGGGGCATTTTATGCCTTAATGATGAGAGTGAGATGACAGGAAATGAGAAGAGACAGGCGTGGGAGAAGATAAGAGGCAAAGATCCTTTAAGGTAAAGACCTTGCTAGATTAACTAAATCAAACCCATCACACAATCAACTGTGTTTTAATGTGTGTTAGTTTGTGTAATGCTCCACTGCTCCTTGTCTTTTACCTTTAGGCATGTATTTAGTATGTGTGCGGACTCACGCTGGTGTGTTGGTACCCATGGACATGACTCCAGACACAAAGACTAGGGTTCCGACCACTGCTGCCGGCAGCAGCCAGGCTGTATAGAAACCTGCAGAGATATAAAGCTGCATTAGGCCACAGCTCTCAGCTGATGCAGGGGGAAGGTGCCATTACACTGCTGCACTGCTGTTTAATGCTGGAGAGTCCTTGATGAAGACGTCATGTTGGCTTCACAGAAAAAAATAGAATGTGTCTCTTGCTGAGGATTATGTCTCATGCGTATTGTATTCTCTTTGTTAAATATGAGGAGAAATATTGAGACCAAAAGACAAAAATAATTAATTCCCCGATCAGCTTATTATGCATTTAAAAATAAAGGATGATGAAGGTGTGTCACAATAAATAAATTCTTGTTATAGAATGGGGCAGAATAAGAATGTACATTTACCCAGCCATGCAAAGTAGAGTGCAATCTTCTCTCCAAAGTACTCCCTGATGTGGTCCAGAGGTTGGTACTTGTACCATTTGAACCAGCGGGCCCAGTAGTGGTAAAGAACCTGCCTCTGGTTGAGTTCCTCAGGACGGATCTCGAACTTAGGAAGTTGAAAAGGGCCCTGACGAAAAAAACAAAACAACCAAAAATACACATGCAACTGATGAGAGAAGAAGGACAACAAGAAACCTTACATCAGATTTAAGAGCAGATAAATAATATCTGACCTCATGCAGGGGGAACGCTGCAGTGTACGCCCCTTCATTTATCAGTCTGTCCACGCCGACTTCAGCCCTCTTCTTTTTGCCATAAACCGCCTTGGTAAGAATCTCATACACCTGATATAAAACACAAACTTTCACTCCATTAGATAAAGTAAACACTGAATACATTAAATATATTGTGGAGGAAGTCCTGATACTCACAACACGGTGTCTCTGTGTATTAGTGAAGTAGGATTCATGGTCCTCATAGTCGAGGAATCTGTAAAAGCCAGTTACTTACTGTGTATTCTACAATACAATGTGAGCTGATTCTCATTCTTATTGATCGACGTTAGTGAACCCACCTGTTCATCTTGGACTTGCGGAAGGCACATGTGTAATAGTCCAGTGGCCTGTTTGGCACTGACTCTGTCATTACATTAGGTATGCATAGTCTGCTCAGTACCCGAGCAGATGTGTTTAAATCCAGATGTGGCTGTGCCTGGAAGTCCAACACACACTGATTCAGCATTAAGAATTTATTATCAACATCTTCCTTATATGAAGTGAAGTTATAATCCTGAAACTCTCATTTAATTGTGTGACAACCATGGTTAAGCCAGAATTAAATTTAAATGGGAGATGTGCATTGAGTACTGGGAATACTAGTAATGGGAATCCCAAAGAACTGGGGTTTGGTGTAAGAAGTGGAATAAAAAAGGTCTGCATGCTTTTTGAGTCAAATGCTCATGTCAGCATGCAAATATGTGAGTACATTTAACTTGTAATGTGCCTTTTGAATAAAAGTTACATGACGCGGCATAAAAACAATGACATGCACATTTTAGGAGGTAAATGTACCTAATGTGTGTATTTATATAACATATCGGTATGTAAATGTTGACTACTTCACTAAACACAATGTACAGTTGAGGCTTTTGTCATTATTTTGCAGATCACAAATGTATTGGACAAAGTGAGATGCTGAGCTGATGATGACGATAGATGACAAGTTAAGGGATCACAAAGGGCATAAGGATTAAGTGCCAGATTTCCAGACAAACAAAAATGTCAACATCTTAGTGGCGGTTGAGTAAAACCAGAGAATCACCAAAGTTAGCAAAGCACGAGGATTCATCATGTGGGCATAATGAATGTCGATAATAAATCTGGAGAAAATCCATCAATACTTGTACTTGTTGACAGATTTCAGTCGGGATCGAAGTGGTGGACCCTGAATTATTACTGCTGAACAAATCCAGCCGGAATTAGAATCAAAAAAGGGGTATGATGTAATGACAACTTTAAGGATTATAACTATTTGATAATAACTAAATAATGTGTAGTTATAGACAGCTGTGTTGACCTGTAATGGAGCTCTCAGACAGAGTTCCTCAGCGTAATACACCAACACATCCCAGGGAGCGCTAACTTTCAGAAAGTGTATTGTTCTCTTTTCATTCGCTGTTTCCTCCTAAAGGGACGACAGGCCACATTGAGAAGTTGTTAGTGAATATGTCAAAGGAAAAGACAAACAGATTTTAAACTCATGACTAAGATAAATAATATGATGTGCTGAACCTTTTCCAGGAGCAATCCAACACTCTCCAGATTCTGGACAAACTTCTCCCTCCACTGTTCCAGCTGGGCCTTCCTTCGCTCAGAGCGGCTGTTCTCCTCGGTGGGCACGGCCTCCCCCTCCTCGCATGCAGCCTCACTCTTCCCCTTTCCTCTCCGCTTCCTCCGCGAGCGAACCTCCCACACCAGCACAAAGTCTGAACCCAGATCAACCACAGAGCCAAAAGTTTAAACTAGGGACTGATTCTTTCATACATTCAACTCTGAGCTTATGACAGCTAATAGAATGTAATCTGCTGATCCTGCATATACCAATTTTAGTTCTTCCATCTCTGAAGTAAATCCCCGGGTGTGACACTGGCTGGTTACTTCTTGTATTCCAGTTAAGGTGAACGGGATCGTCACCCTCAATACCTTCGTCAGCAGCTGCTGCTGAAAACTAAAAAGATCCACAGTTCATGATTCAAAACAAGTCAGAGCAGCAGGCAAAAGATTCTTCCACTTTTCTGTAAGTAAACCATCTGTTCTGTATGAGGATGGTTAACTTCATTGCGATGAATTGTAACAATAAATTCACGCATGTGCCACTGCACAGCATCATAAAAACCACCTCTTTGAGTCTAGGGAGGTATGATAAGAACCATCACTGGGCTGTTCTACCGTATGATTGAAAACAATCCTTCAGTGCAGCAGTCACAAGATGAATTTTAATAGACCACATCGCCTGTGGATATCACATTAAGAAGAAAACCTGGATTCACTGCATCATGTGTGAGGTGTGAAGGCACGAGAGAGAAGCAGCTGTGTGAACCAATATACAGTTATTTTCAAAGTTTATGTCATTACTTAAAAGCAGCAGTATGATAAAATAGTGAAAGTGCTCACATATCTGGGTGGGATGAAGACTCCGTTCTGCAGACTCCCATAGCTCTCTGTGCTTTGTGCTTCGCCTACATAGTCCAGATCCAGGAGGACTTCTCTGTCGCCCTTCCTCAGCATGATGTGCCTGGACACATTAAACTGTGCAGCTAAACAAATCTGTGCTCATCGCTTCAGTATTTCACACATGACGACTCCAGACATACTGGAAAAAGAGACTGGAATGATAAAAAAATGATGATACTGTACCTTTGCTGGAGAGAAAATGAGGCTGCTGCTGAGGATTTTCACCAATCTGTGCTTTTCTCTCCCTCGTCTCTATCTCTGCATCCGTCTGGCTCCTCGGCTCCACTCATAAATGGCTGTGAAATACCGTAATGGACGTAGCATACAGGCAGGGGCTGATACTTTTGCTGCCTGCCTGAATGGAAATGTTCTTCAGGACATACAGTAGCAGCGGTGCACATCCCCACCTCATAAATAATGCAGCAGCCAGTCAGGGGGCAGTGGATGAGAGAAATCTAGGATAACACATTAGGGAGAAATCTCCTTGATGTTAATGGGTATTCCCTCACCCATACCAGCTGATTTACTCTTTTCATTTCGTGGGTTTTAAAATGTACACACAATCAAAATAAATTATAGAGGAGCCATCTGTGTTCCATTTTCTTATTTACTGAAAAACATCTCATTTTTCCTCAGAGTAGCATCAGCACCATAGGTCACATCATTTATTTTCTGCCGCATCTCGCCTCCTCTTTGCTTGACTGCATTGCTGCAGTCAAGACGGGGCTGGATGTCAGCAGCGTATGAAGAGGTACAGAGCGTAGAGAAGAGGATGAAAAGGGAGACGGCAGGAGGAAGTGCAGGAGAGTGTTGTCCTGACATAGAGACGGGGAGTAAGGTATTATAATTGTATAAGAAAGTGAAAAGCTGCAGAGTGAAATGAACGAGGGGGAGCAGAGCCTGTTTTACACTCAAATTTAATTTAAAGGTTAAAAGGATCTATTGGCAGAAATTAAATAAAAAAGATTCTAGTGATGTTTTCACTTGTGTGTTTTATCTACATTGTAGGAATTGTTGTTTTCTTTACCCTAGAATGAGCCCTTTATGTTTATATACTTTATATTTACATCATGCTGCAACATGACACTTCACCACTAGATGTCACTAAATTCTACACACTGAACCTTTAATGGGTAGAAATACTGTTTGTTGTCTGATAATTAAAAGATCAAAGCTGCCTGAAGTAAAGTACTGCAAATAAAAGTGTTTTAGCAGGATTTTTATTGTACAATTTATACAACTGCATATGAATCCAAATTTTCAGTTACCTTCAGGCCAGCACTATTATGTGCCCCAACAGAACACAAAGCAAAACTCAAACGCTTTCTTTCCCTCTGCACATGGACAGTTGATTTTGTCTTGTCTCCTTAGAAAGCCAGGGTATGTTCACCTTCTGTCCCTGCTAGTTAATTTATGAAGTTTAATTGCTTGTGAAGGCTGTGAAAATGAAATCCTACGATTAATAAAGTTGATGGGTCTTACTCCATAGAATACACAGAGTTACATTATGGGGAATATATGATCCAGTGTTGTTTGAGTTTTACAAACCAGGAGACTCTACTGCCTGTGTTTTAACCATATTTACAAAAAAATCTCTTATGATCCGTAAAATAAGCTGCTGCTGTTGTGGTGCAGAACTTGTGTTGTGGGTTTTGTGTGAATGAGGTGACTTTACAGCCCTGTTTAACAATATGATCTTAAGGGGATCAGACAGAAGGACAGCCCTGTGTTCAGCCACTTGTTTTTTCTTTTCAGCCAAAGCATTCAGAAGAGCTAGAACATCAGTGTGTTAATTCAACCCAACACTTTTTATTTTCTGGAGTGACTTTCATTACTTTGTTTTTGAAAAGCTCTCCTGTCTCTGTGAACATCCCAGGAGGACAACACACACTCTTCTCATCCATCTCATCAATCTGATATTGCCCCTCTTCTCGTCTCTATCTTTCTTGTGCTGAGTCATTGTGTGATTTCACATGAATCCTCCACATGTTGTCTTCAGCAGGCCACTTCACTGTTGTGCTCAGTTCCCTGGATGCCGGTTTATAATTTCAGCTTTGTTAATTTCTATATTCCAGTCTTGTCTTATGATCACAATAAACTTAACTATACCTGTGACAATTGAATGGCTCCAGCTGGGTTTTCTTCTTTTCCTGCAGGGGATAATTTTCTTCCCTTCTTTAAATCTCTTGAATATCTTTCAGCTATCATTTTTGCAACAAATCTTGAAATATTGAGGAGAAAAAAAGTTTCCTACAATGTCCGAATGATCCTGTTCTAAATTGTTGTGGTCTGAAGACAAGGAGGAGAGTTACTGGCTTGTTGAAACTGCAGCAACAGCACAAGCACACCCAAGGTGGCATTATTGTGCTACTCAAATGACAACAATGAATCTGAACAAGACCAGTGCTTACTCTTTGTCCTAGCTAATGCAAAACCTAGGACAAATCAGATAAGTGAGTGTGGGAAACATACTGTATCTGCTTTTGCTTTAACAAAATTACAAAAGAATTAGGACACAAAAAGAAATGTGCATCAATGGGTTCAGAAGAAATGTCTTACACTCATCATTTAAAAAGACCTTATGCAAATTACTGACCACTCAAAGTCATTGAGTATTTTCCCCCTATCTTTACTCAAGAGCGCAGTCTTTCAGTTTGAGAACTTACTGATTTCATGTTCAATTTTGTAATGCTCTCACTCACAACCCTGCACTCACACTCAAATAGCCCATGCTTGTACTTAGATTAGCTCCGCTTGTGCTCAAAATGAGCACTTGCACTCAGATTTTAATTTGGAGAATGACCACAGAGATTTTTCAGTCAATAGTGTTTGTGAGAATGGCCTCCAATGTGGGGCCGTTAAAGTCTCACTCTTTCCAGTTCATCCCATACAAATGGGATGGAGTTGAGGTCAGGGATCTGTGCATGCTACTAAAGGCTTCTACAGAAAACTCACAACCATTTCGGTATGGACCTCACAAAGTGCACAGGGAATTACCAACATGATGAAACAGGAAAGGGTATTTCCCAAACTGCTGCTACACTGTAAAATACTGTGGAATTAGGATTTATTTTCATAGGGAAAAGGGGAGACACTAATGTCTCAGGATACAATAGCTGTAGACAGGAATCTTTTTGGCAATATCTTATAACAGATAAATCAAGTCACTTCACCATAAGTGAAGCCTATATCAGAGGAAACTACATATATGACCTCTACTGGTGACTAGGGAGAGTTGCAGCATTGGCAGTGTTAAAACAGTGGTGCAGACTGGGAAGTTTTATAAATCAGGAATTCAAAGAATTACTGAGTCACAGGCAGAAATCCAAAACCACACATCAGACATTGTGTCGGCATATTGTTTTACACTTGGAATCTTTAGTAAAAAGAGACATTTTCTGTGAAGAAGGAAAGCCAGCTGAATACATTAATACATCATCTGCTCTTACCTGTAAATCTTTCATCCCTGCTCTAATGTGACTGGCCTTGTGTTTTCAATGCAGAGTATTTCACTGGTTTGACCCAACACAGAGATGTCGATGTTAAAGCGACCACAGACACAGTTAGCACGTATCATCACAGGAGCCATAGTTTTGTTTCAGTTTATTCAGTTACGCTGTCCGATCACAAAGGTTTATTTGCACATTCATTACCATTATGAACAGTATAAAACCCTCTGGACATGCATGTCTTTCTGCGGGACTTTACAGTATGTTATATTGATTAGTGCTATATTTACAATTTGATAAAACTACCAAAAATAACATAAATATTACATGCATTATACATTTATGAACAAAAATCAAAAAGCGCCTTTTTCAGAATGCATCATTCAAAAGATGTCATCCACCATTGGCCAGCAATGACCTACACTCAAAAGACTGCTCAAAAAGACTAGTTCTTCTTTATATACACACTTATAGGTCACAACTCTAAGCACTTGATTTTCTTTTCATTGATAATGAACTGTTCTCTCCCTGGTCAAACATCTTTCAGTAATCCACAGGAGGGAGAAGATTTCAAAAACACTGCCGACCAAATCCTGTTTTGGAACCCACTGAATTATTCAAAGATTTTAAAATAAAACCTTCTCCACGTAATGGTATCACTTTTCAGTCTTCTCTGTGCACGCAAAAATAAATTCATAATGCTGCATGGAACATGGGAGGAACAGAAGTAGAAAAATGGATTTTAAACAACGTGTAATTAGACAAAACAGCAGCAATCTTATAAAATGCATGGTGACTCTTAAGGTTTTGGATGTGAAGTACCTTTTCACCTGAGATTAGATTTCTTTGTAAAAGAGCAGAAGATGAGCAAGAACAAGTGGCACTTGGAACGGCTTAAAGCACTGAGTGATGCTGACGTCAAAAAAACGAACAGGAGACATAGGACACGTACTGTATGTGTGGGGCTGATACTCTTGACTGTTCAGTGCCTCTGTTTTTTTTATTTAGCTGACTATGGAATTTGTGGCAGGACATTATGTCTGTCGTCAGAGTTTCTGACCCGTCCAATAATCACAGCATAAATTATGATTGTTTAAGTTTTCTAATGCAGTCGGCCAAATGTACAGAGTAAAGCAAACTACTAAATTCAATAACTGTTTTTTTTCCAGTTTGAACTAATTGGCCAAATTATCCAGTTCAGTCAAAAAAGGCAAAATTGTCATAGTGGAAGAAACCACACTTGTCTCTGCCTTTCGATAAGAGCAGTTACACACTGACACAGTAGCAGGCTTCAGTGTTGACGACAGATTGTAACATGCATAAACATTACCATTCACTCCCTATGTCATTTACAAGGAAACTAAAAAGGCTTGATTTAGGATTTTCTAATCCTCATGCAGTGTAAAGCTGTGTCATATTAGATAATATTATCGGTGATGCATTTGCAAAGGCTATTTGAGGATTATTTTGAAACCTCAGACGTGGTCCTACGTCACAAAAGAATGACTACTTTCTATAATCTAGTGTCTTATAGCTGGTAGAGTGGCCACATTAGTGTACGTCACTGTGTGCTGTCACAAACCACTGGTGTAAAAAACAGCTATTGTGATTCTAGCTCTTACTATTAGTGATTCTTCTTTAACCAGACTAAAGACACATCTTCTGATTCAGACACAGAAATTTACACCAAGACAATGTCATCACTCAGCAAATTGTTTTCTAACAATTGTTCCCGCCTTCTTCTAAAATGGAAAGAAAAACCAGGACGTTATGATGATAACACAAAAACTAAAATTTGTACCATTTAAAAAAAGAGACTAACAATGTGCAAGTCTGCATGGAAGCCTCCGCTCATCTCAAGAGTGGAGAAAAAGGCAAGTCTGTTGCAGTTCTGACTGACAACATTTCAAGTGGTAAAGCAAGATCTCAGATAAATGTTATGTAACAGTGCAAATATCCAGGTATGCTTCATATTGAGATCCTCATTCTCTCAGGATAATGTACAGTGAAGAGGATTTTGTCCTCACACAAACTGAATCAAACACATAAGCGACCATCGGTGGTTATTCATTGATACTGTACAGAGCTGTACATTTGCTCTATAATGACACTGAGTCAGGGTGTAGTGTAACATCTTGTACAGTAACTCTGTTAACCAGGAGTCACTGTATCATCACACAGTTGTGGGTTGTGCGAGCAGAAAGCAGTACTGATACTATACATATATATATGTGTGTGTGTGTGTGTGTTTGCAAGGCAAGAAGTGTGCATTTTTCCACATCGCAAAAGAGCAGCAACATGCCCTTCATATATGGCTTTCTTGATACATATATTAAGTAAATTATAAGAAACATCCAGCTCGTTTTTATAGAGAATCATTAATACCTTTCTTATCTCACTGTGCAGAGAAACTCGTAACAGATCTTTTATCTTCCTCCCAATTCAAAGTATGTGTTTATATGTGCAGTTTATCACTCACTCAAAGTCAAGGGTTAAAAAAGAAAATGTATTTAAATGCTCACTTTAAGGTGGATTACCCACTGAAGAAAAGAGTTTTATGTCGACGTATCGGAGAAAAAACTCTCAATGCCAAAATGAATTAATTCAGCAGGCTACAACTGAGTGCAAGATGCACTGAAAATCAGTTTGAAATTCTTACCATGACACAGCTACTCGCTGTGCATTGTACATTAGTACATCCCCATTTCCTGCAGTGTTTCCCATATACGTAAACCACATCATGTGAAACCAAACTTTTCCTTCATTCCTCATATTTCTTCCTACATTGCTGCTATGTCCTAAGAACCTCTGATAGAAGAATAACAGTAATGTATCAACAGGATGATTAACATGAGAAACATTGTCACTCTACCAGAGGTTCATTCATTTCATTTCAAAGGAGGAAGTCTCTCCGTTGCACATGTGATGTCTCATATGCATTGCTACTTATGCAGGAGGTTTCTCTGACAGAATCGTTTCATCATCACCCGACTGGTTTGTTAAGTCTTCCGACATCAGACTACCAGAGTGTTTCAGTGGCTAACAAAAGGTAAGCTACATGAGTGCATGTGTGTGTCCGTCAGCACCAGGGTTCACGTTGGGCTCTGCCTCGGGCCAAGCTGTCCGCCCTCTGCCAGGCACTCTTCATCAGGGCGAGGGCCTCGCTGCATCTCTTCTGCACTGACGGATCAGTCACATCTCTGTGGGGAAGGTCAACCTGTGTAGAGTGGGGAAATTCATGAGCCAGTAGTTGTTTGATGTACATATTTGCTGATATTCTCAAACTGTTAATATTTCAGTTATTGCAATATCACTGTATTGCCCTTGAAGCCCATGTGACAATGGCAGTCTACAGTGTGTTCTGACCTGGTAAATGTCTTTCCACGTCTTGTCCAACGCCTCCAGCAGCCGATCTCTCTCTTCACAGCCGCTGAAGTACAAGACCCATGGAGGGAGGAACTGGGTTCGATCTGTTGCAAACTCCTGTTTCAAAAACAGAAGGACGAGTTTTATTAAAAGCCTTAAACACAAGATAAAAAAACATTTAACTCTGATGTATAAGTGATGTATTTTCCAAACAACTGTAAGAGTCCTACTTTTTGTGGAAATTAGTTTTGAAAAGATAATGTTTAGTATTTGGGCCAATGCAGTACACTTTCTATCCAGAGCAGTAGGGAACTCACAAGCCTAGTTTTCTGTGTATTCAGCTTTAAGACTGAGTAAAATCGCTTGGTTAGATTATAATAGCAATGGGGAAAATCCTGCCTAAACCTATCAGAGACACATGACCTCTACATTCGAATACCAGTGATACCAGAGTTCAGTTTACAGTTTAGTGTGATGTATAATGTAATGATCGCTGGGCCCCTTCTTAGACTGGAAATACTTTACAAACACTTATTGTGAGGCTCTCTCTTTTAGAACAGATCAGTGTAATTAACTTAACATTTAACTTCATGTGTGATTGTTTAAAAAGCCACTCTTGTTTTTCTATGTTGATAATCAATTTAAAATTTCAGAAAAAGAGAGAAAAATTAAATAACTCTGTTAGTTATGGCATGGAGATCACATGTGAATACAATAAAAAATGTTGATATAAATTCTAATATAAAACTGCTGAACATATCGTCACTCACAATGACACAGTACTCCTTGTCGGCCTCCAGGTTGACAGTGGTGACATCACAGATATCAGCGCTGCCCAGAGAACGGAAGAAGCTCGTCTGACAGTCCTGATGGCAGGTTAGCAGCTTCCTGTCTGTCATCACCAGGCAGCATGGGATACACGGGGTGGGAGCCACACCCTGAGGGATGACCTGGAGATAACATCGTTGTAGTTTGATTAGAACTTGCTCATGTGAATGCAGCTTAAATCAATCCACATTGATATTGTGCACACAAGCAAAAACCAGATGTTCCCTGCAAACAATGAAGATCAGCAGGTCCTGTCAGGTCAGAGAATCCCCACAGGGATTATATGGCACATTATTTGTGCGTTTATCCATGGTCACTTCCTGTTGAAAGCTGTAAGAAAGCCAATCCAACCTGATTTAGAGGGGCTTCCCATTTGAGTTTAAGACACCAATGTGTGGGATACCACAATGAGAACATTGGTTATCATTATTGTCACAAGAAAACTAGCACAGTTTGTTTCAGCATGTTTGAATTATTGTTGTTTGAGGAAAACATGCATTGAGTTCATATGTTTACATGACTTGAGGAAAAAGTACAAAGAAAGGCTTCATCTGTAAATGCTGAAGTGAGTAAGCACACAACATGTGACTGAGGGGTGGAATGTGTTTAGTCTCACAGAAAGTACATACTGCACAACACTAAGTACTTTTAGAATGAAGTTGTACTGAACAGACAGACAACCATCACTATCTCCCTGTCTCTCTAAAAACACTGAGATATATAAAATGCGTGCATTGTGTGACTTTCCCTTCTTACCCCTTTAGAGACAGACTGGCAGAGCAGCTGCATCCATTCGGCCATCTCCTGCTCATGGTTGGCGCTGAGCTCCAGAGGCGGGCGCTCTGTCAGGATGACCTGGAATGCATGGGGACGCTCTGTGCTGTTTGAGCGCCGGCAGCCGCCACAATGCTCTCCTCTGTTTGAGTAATGAGGAGGGGGAGCAATGAGGATGAAAATATACTAGTGATAATCAGTGAACATAGTTCTGTTTACTGCTTTTGAACAGTAAAATCTAATGGGTTCACCGTCTCCTGTTTCACCTTTCAGACTCTTCAAACTTACCCCATAGTGACGGACAGCTGAGGTGTCGTATCTGTTCTTTCTGCATACAGGTAAAGAATCCCATTGCTGCAAGAAAAGTGGACAATTGTTTATATTCATCAAGCTCATTATATTGCATAATTATACAACAATCTACTAGTTCTATAATATCGATAAAACCACAATAGCGTAACCACTTTTTTCCAAAGCATTTTGGTCCCGGTGGGTCTAAAAGAGCCAACAGTGGTGCCTTTTTATTTCTTAAAATTAAAAAAAAATAAAACATTTTATCCAACTATTCATTTTTAAGTATTATTACAGGGGTTTTAATTAGTTCAATTTAAGACTTTTAACATTATAATGAATGAAATTTGAATATGACAGATAATCAGAATATCAGACTCCTAAAGTCCTATTAATTAAACTTCCCCATAATTGAAAATAAAGTGAAGTAGCCTGTTGGTGAACAACTTTAAACACACCTCTTTATCTACAGGCCGAGACAGTTGGTGTCCATTTCCTACAGCTAAGCTGAGTGCACACAGATAAACTCAGGCCAAAGATTTCCATGATGATCTTGTGTGTAATTTTATTATAGTGTACTAAAGTAGAAGTGGCATTGAATGGAACTGTAACATAATCAAAACTTACTAAACATATTTTCTGGCCTAGTGCAGAATATTTTAATTTATTTATGACTTTTAAATTTTAGGCCTTTTTAGACTCTTGTAAATCTTTGTGAACCTTGTACTATAATTAATGTAACAGACAAGACCGCAGTCTCTACCCTGTATTATATATTATATATAATATATAATATATATATAATATATAAACATTGTGTAATGCTGGCTGGAAAACTGCTGGATTGATTTGCTCTGCACCCACAAAATGTGTGAGAGTGGCAGATGCTGAGAGGAGGGACAACCTGAAGGAAATTTATATGTCCAATATGTTTGTCATCTTTCAATAAAGCAAAAGTGTGAAGTGAGGGTGTTTGGAACTGAGGATCATTACACTTTACAGTCCTCACAGGTTTTGTGAGCTGAGAGACTGACATACCATAAATATTAAGATGGGATGTGAAAAGAATGTTTTTAGTGACAGACAGTGAAACCTGACACATATTGTAATGTCATGCACATAGTATGTGTGGAAACAAACCAATGTGTATTTTAAGTAACATTAATGCCAGTGGAAAAGGGAAGCAATATGTTCGACCTGCTCATACCTGAGCACAAGGTAGCAGCTTTTCCACAGCTCTTTGCCCAGGTACGAGTTTCCAGACCGGTACTGGAGAGTCCCCTCCTTGGTACTGGAAGGGACTCTAGAGCTCGGTGGGCCTTCTTGGGGAGACATAGTCATGTCCATAGGATCCTCCCAGTGGACCAGTGAATAGAGTTGGATAGACACTTCCATTACCTGGAAATGCAGGCAAGTATTGGCTTATTAGTGCTATACATCAGAGTGGAAAAGCAGGGACAATTGTTATTATTATTATTATCAGCATTAAATACTGTAAATGCAGAGGTTACACAATGTTTTTATCAATGGACTTTCTTGGTGGATAAGGAAATAGAAATAAAATGACTATAACAGTGTTTTGCATGGCATGTCAAATTTACATAACTTCTAAATCAGGTTCCAAAGCATAAAGCTCTGAACATAATGTTTGAAAACTTTTTCTGTGGTTGCATGGCAACATAGTTGGTGGAAAATCTGAATTGCATTGCATTTTTAATTCATCCAATCAGAGAAAAGCAACTCATGCTGTGTTGTCAAGTGTGTTGGCTTGTTCTCCGTAAGACCAGACCTTTGATGGAGTTCAACATTTCTTTACCTCACAGTGAGATTCCTGGGAGACAAACTTAGTGAGAGCCAGTTTTTCCATTGTAGCATCAGTCAGAACGGAGGGGTAAGGGGGCTCACGACAGCCCTTCACCATGGCTGACTTGAGAACCGAAAGGAACAGGCTGTATTCAAGAAGAGAGGTAAACTGGATGAAGTTAAACACGTCTTGTAACGCAACTTTTGCGCACACACAGTTTATCTGCCAACCACGACTCGATACGAAACGTGACGCGCACACCCAGAACAATCCAGACTCATGTTCCGACATCATCGATTGGTAACTAAATAAATTTAGACAGCATGTGTGAAGAGAGCGACTGAGATGATCAGATGCATGCACACTTGCAGATTACAAGGCATAGTTCTTACTCTTACGAAACATATGACAATGATAAAAGGGTACACTCACAGAGTCAGTGAGGAATCAGCTGTGTCCAAAAGAAATTTTCTTCGTCTGTTGGTGCAAACCACCGTCACTGTCTGTTGGTCAAGGCCCACCTTCAGGAACACAACATTACAACTACTTTATTAGACACATCACTAATTATGTGCTCCGTTACATCACGCTTGAGTCTTCATGAATATCGTGTAATTAACTCTCCATAGATCACACGAAAGCAACAGCCTGAAGGCATGGACGAACATGAGAATATGAAAATCCTTTGTTGTGCAGGACACTTACTGAGAGATAGTCCACTTCATTATAAGAGACTGCTTCTTCTACTGTGTAGGGTTTCTCCGCAGCACCTGTGATGAAAATTAATGAAATGTATTTTTAGTCATTAGATTTTAATCGGACTAATGTATTATATCCTGGTTTATCTAAACACATCATCTCTGACCTGCTGGGATCTTTCAGAAATAGAAACTGTCTGGGTTGCTTGTACAGGCAGACAGTGCACAATTTTATGCCATGAATAAAAAAATCTGTATCAGAAATCGCTAACCATTCATCTTATCACACATGACACATGTATTGTTAAAGGCCCAAGGAAGTGCACAACCAGTGCTCTGTAGCAGTGGTGATTGGACCTCAACGTAAGAGACGGGATGTTTATAATGGGCACTGCAATACTACCAAACAATGGCAATGCATTCTGGGTCTAGCCACTCACCCTTCCGTAGCAGGTAGATGTAACAGTCAGTGAGGAGCAGGTAAAGGGGCTGCAGATCTCCCTCCATGTGGCCCGTACTCATCCTCAACATCTGAAAACACGATCATAAAGTGTTGGAAACCTCAATGTTCATCGGTCAATGTTCATCAGGCTCTAACTGTTCCTGTCTTCTTGTGATTGGTTCTGGAAACTTGATTCCACATTATAGCATGCTGCTACATGTATAGGAGACTGTTGAAGAGATGTATATTCCAATAGCAAACCAGTGTCATTTAATACACTAGTTACATCTGCATCTTTTGTTTACACAGTTTGGTGAAAAACTGTGATATATGGTTTTTACTTAATACAGATAAATTATTACTACCTGCGTAAAAGCCGTTAAACAGGAATTGGAAACTGAGCCTTGCAACACTTCCACTAAGCTACAGCCTCCAAACCACTTTGATGTCAAAACAAGTGTGACAGAAAAACTGGTTAGAAGTGAGAAAGAACATTTCTGAAGAGAGTTTTTTTTTTAAAACAGTCATGCTAAAAGTTCATGTCACCAGTTGTGTTGCTATAGTAAAACCTGTCATTCAACTACTAATTTTACAGCTGGTCATTGAAATACATGCTTTTCACTTTCACATTTTCCAAAAGAATGTCAGTCCTTTCAAAATGAGTAAAACATTAAATCACTGCCTGTTTTTACCTTGAAGAGCTGCTCCTCATTCTCTCTGAAAACATGGATCATCAAAAGAAGCAAGTGATTATTGTCCACCCTGAGGAAGAACAATGGAAAACATTAGACACACTGGATACCATTGCAACACAAACAGCACATTTTGAAGAAGCTACATACCTAAACTCTGCAGGGTGAGAACTCTCTAAGGGACTAAGCTCCTCTTGTACCCGTTGTTTTGTTTGCACATTAAATGAATTATTGGCCATATGCTCTTTTTTTACATTTTCCTCCTTTATGTCAAGCTCCTGTTCTGTTGGCGCTTTTGCCTCTCCTTCATCTTCAAGGCAACCTGAAAGAGTCTGCGACTGGCTATGCTCTGTAGAGTCATGGTGGCCACCACCTGTGGGAGCAGAGTCTGGACTGATGGCGGTAAAGCAGCATATGTCTGTCGGTGAAGGAGAGGCCTGCAGGAAGTTGAGGCCTGTGGCCAGAGTCTCTCCTGGTACGGGGTCAGGTGGCTTTCCCCCTGAGTCCTCTCGAAAGGGCTGCTGTGTGGGGGGCTCGGGGCCCTGATCACAGCCATTACCATTTTTCTCCTCCTCCTCTTCCAGGTGCTCCCAGGCCCCTTCCCTGTCTAGAGCCCCATTGAGACGCTCCATGACGTCATGGAGGGGCTGGCCCACGCTTTCCATGGAGGTGTCAGTCATCTCTGGGAGGCGCAGGAGGCCTTCTACCCCGTCCTCATCACCCTCATCCACCGTCTCTGATCCCACCCTGCTTCTGCTCAACTCTCCTTCACCATCCGGATGAATCACAGTGCAATTTAATGAATCCATATCCTCCGAGGCCAAGAGGCTGCTGTCGATTTCCATGAGGTCAGAAGAGACGGAGTTATGGATGCTGCTGCTGGAATCTGTGGACCCCTTCCCTCGACGTTTCTTGGCTGGTTTCCTTCTTCTGGCCATCCTGAAAGAAAACAGTACTTAGCTGCATTTTTCCTTTTTGCTAAAACCAAGCTGATTGAGCTCTGCAGATGTAATGTGAGCTCACTAATGCATCTGTAGCTACTGTACCTGATGACCTCCAGCTCATTGCTGGTGTACTCTGTGTCATCTCCGGCCGTGATGCTGTTGTGGCGGCTCACTATGTGAACTGGCGTGACGTCAGCTGAGGTGTTGGTGTCTGAGTCCTCGTTGAAGGGGTTATGTCTGGATGTGGGGCTGTGTGGAGGAGGATGAGCTGCTACCTTCACCTTCACAGAGCTGACAGAAAGCACCACTGTGTCGCTAATGACTGTTTGGGGATCAGATCCGCTGGATCGTGGGCAGCTGGCCTGGTCGGTCAGGTCACCCTCTATCATTAAAAGTCACAAATAAGCATTCACTTAATAAAAAAGCAGCAGTTATCAAGATTAATGTCTATATTCAAAGAAATACACTTAAGTTTTGGTGAAGTCTTGCTGGTAAGTTGAGCTGCAAATGTTGACATTACAAGGTTTTGCTTGAAATTGTAACTTAGAGCAGAACTGTTTCTCTTCATAAATTTGTGTACATGTATTTAGTTTTATCAGGAATATAGAGCTGACCAGCGAGACTATTTCACAAAAACTTTGTGTTTTCCTTCTCAGCATCACACACAAATGTTAGGGGCTGCAGCGTTCAATGCAATTCTTTGGCGAGAGGGTCAGAGAGGCACAAAATCCAATGCTCAAGAAATGAAGTCGGTACACAGGCAGCAGCTTTCTTTGCAGTGGCACAGGCCGAGGTCAAACTCTACTAGTGTGAAAGAGATGGGTCATGCATGAGAAAATGGACTGAATACGATGTATATAGACTAAGTCACTAGAGAGCTTTTGATATCATTTAAAATGATCCCCCAAGTTCTCTCATGCTGTTTCTATGAACTTACTTTAAGTACTGTTATTAACAGTTATGTCTTCAGCCAGGTTAAGGACAAACTAGTCCAATGTAAGATCAGATGTAAGGATCATCTCACATCCTTTAGTTATTTACACAAATCAGGTAAATGGACTTCAAGCAAAGATTACTATAAATAACACAAATAATTAAATAATCTATAAAGACAGCAATCATGTACACATCCTATATGCAGCTTACTACAAACAAATGCTGTTGTAAAAAACAACCTTGAGCAACTATTTATCAAGTTTAACCTTAACCCAACTGTGGAGCTGAACCTAGGCCAGTGCCACACATCATACAGGAAAAGAAGAAGTTACAACAACATTACACCAGACAGGCAGGTACACAGTGTACTGGAGACAGACTGGACGAGGTGAGTACCAGATACGCCAGGCATTTATCTTGCTGTAGTGAATAAAGAGGCCAAGTGAGCATTAGGATCCTTCCCCAGACGAGTAACACATGCACAGCATGACAGAACAGTTCCCATGTGCCCACCCAACACTTCCCAGGAAAAAGCAAACTTACCAGTAAACATGACATGATAAGTGCCACCTGTCTTTCAATTGCATCAACATTCAGGTAAGTTTAAAGGATGTCTGTTGGCTTATTAACATGTTAAGCTATAGGCTTAACATGTTAATAAGTTTTCATGTCCTCAGATCAGCAGTATTTTATACCAGTTAGCTTTTTCTCTATTAACATTTCTAATTACAGGCTTAAGGACCCAGCATGACTTTAGCACAAGCTGTGGGATTGCCATGCAAAAACAAAAAGGGAAGGAGGGTAGGAAGGATGAAGGGGTTGACAAATGTCCCACCTTCCCAGTCCACATTTGGCAATGACGGCAACACGTGGAAGATGTCACCAAAATCATAATCTAAAAAAAGGAGGGATGACATTCAGCATTAGAGAGGTATAGTGGAGAGGGAAGAAAGATTAAAACACAAAAAGTGTGGTATTCAAAATAACTGAGTCAATGGAGAAAGGAACAAGTAGGAACTAAAAGAGGGGAACTGACGTAATTGGTGGAGAGTGATGGGGAAAGCATTGACTGGCTGCTGCAATCACACCAATGAGAGGATTCTGTTACCAAAGGTCTCTAAATGCCACATGATCCATGTGTACATGAGTCACGAGAGTCTGCAAAGTTTAAATCCAACTTCTGCTTCCACACCATTAGCTTGACATAACTGTATGAACTTGTGCCAAAGCATGTGACTGTAATTTTGAGTTTGGTAGGAGTTCATATTTTAAGGCTGCTGTTCCCTGGGTGGTAGTTTAGCAGCCAAGTAACATGAGGACAATTACTGTCCAGTTGAGCAGTAACAGCCCATTGAGGTGACACTAGATATTTGATAGTGCTCATTTTAAGAGGTAACACTGACTGGCCTTTCATGAGCCATTTCAAGCCCAAATTGGTCTCAAACCAGTTACGTCTGTGTGTCTCCTCTCAAATGAGACAATTACTTCTGATTAAGTGACGCATGGGAGCCAATAATGAGGGGGTTATGAGCATGTCTTGTCGTCAGAGAATCCCAGGGCACCTTACCTTCACTGGATGGGGCTATGGCGCTGTCATCCCACTCCAGGTTGGTGGAGGTGAGCGATGTAAAGGAGTGCAGGGACAAGCTGTCTGAACTGGGCAGCCGTTCCTCAAAGTCTAGCAGGTTGTAGGGTTTGTAGTATTCTGGCATGTAAGGGGCCACATCCAGATAAGGCACATCCTGACCCAGCAGGACACAACAACAACGTTACTGACATGCTGATGATGTTAAACCTCTGTATTTATATTGGAATGAAATGGATGCTAACCAGGTCCAGATCAAAGCGAATGAACTCCAGGCCGGAGACGAGCGTGAGGAAGAGAGTGAGGTGGTCATGACTGCAAACCAGTGCGTTCCTAGCAGGAAAGGAAAGTAGTAGGAGGTTATGTGAGTGACTTCTAAGCTGCTTTCATGAAAAAACAAATAGAAAACAAATTTCTCCTGGTGAAAAAAGTGGTGACATAACCATAAAAGACACCAACAAAAATGTCAAGAGAGTTTGCAGTGATAAGAGCTGACGCCGGTGTCTGTGTGTTGTAAAGAAAATCAAGTGATCTCTGCAGTGGAGTGAATACATCACTTTCTGCCTCTGCCTGCTGCACCAGGCTGCTCCACCTCTCGACTGAATAATGTGGAGGATTGGTCTCTGTTGTGAACGAGTCTGTGCAGAGAACCTCCAGCTGTGTTGTGCATGTGTGAAAGGCAAACTGCAGGTAAACTCTGGAGCCATTTCTCGGCTTAATTCACCATGTAAATAGATTCACAGTGTTTAAAAACTGCTGATGGAAAATGAGATTTTATATAAATTTGTTATCCAGGATAAAAGATAAAGAAAGCAATACCTGGAGTTGTCTGATTGATGAGGTCTGATCATGTACATCATGTACATCATGTAATCAAGAATTGCTGGATGACTTACTTGAAATAATACTTTTGTAGTAAACCTCGGTTCTCCTGGAAGAGGCGCAGATAGCTCTCTAAAGAGCTCTCACTCAGTGCCAGGTATAACCATGCACGACCTGAACAGAATAGAGAAGAGTTCTTTTCTACACAGACATTATAATCCCACTGCTTGATGACGGAAGGTACTGTCTGCATGAGTGAGTTTGACTGTGTGAGAGAGATGTCTTACTTCGACCAACGTTGGTTGCTATGTGCTGAAGCTCATCTATCTGGCGGACAGCCTCTCTCCGGGTGAAGTGAAGGACGAGGACCCAGTAGCCTAAGGAAATGTCCTGCAGCCTGCAATGTTGAAAACAGTCATTGATATCAAACGTGTGAGGCCTAAAGAAGAGAGGGGAGTGGAGTAATGGTACCAGAGCTAAAAGCATTACATCATGAAAGCTTGATCAATTACATGTAGCTTGGTTCTAAACACTGTCAAATCAGGCAAAATGCATGTGTCGTGACATGAGACTTATTATATGCTTTAATATAATAATATGATTTGAAGGACTTTTGGTATGATTAATAAAAAAATTTTTTAAATGTTTAAATTGACTGTCAATAAACCTCTTACCCATACAGCAGAGCATGGTCAAGGTGTTCACAGAGGCGCTGCAGGACCCGGTCGTGATTCCGTATAGCAGGAGTCTCATCTTCACAGGCTGCAAAGTAACTCTGCAACTGTAGAGAGACATGATTTCTCTCCTGCTTATTTTGTAATAATGATGATTATTGCATGTATGGCTGCAACTAACAATCATTTTGATAATTGATCAATCTGTCGATTATTTTTTCGATTAATCGATTATTGATGAAAAGCTAATGATCCAGTCAGATCATTGTTTTGGCTCTGTACTCAAGCAAACCTAACATGAAACAGAACAACAACTATAAATAATATGAAGTATTAATTAAGCATGCATAATGGTGTTCAACTTCACAACTCTGGAGGAACTGTTACCCTTTTTATTCATTGTCTCTAAGGTTCAGGAGACTGCAGAAGGACAATTATCCTACAGTAAAACATCAAGTCAAAGTAACAAAGGAATTTAGAGCCAAGTAGTGGAATGTTGTTGACCTAATTCCAAACAAGTATGTGTTTTACTGCTTTGATTCCAGTGTGCCTGTACTCCTTGTATTTCAATTTTAATGCTGGGGTCCAGAACTAAGGCAAAAAACCTTATGAAAGAAGCAAGTAAGTGCATCTGGCTTTTCTAGTCGCCTAAAATGGAGGACAATGCGTTAAAAGAACAGCTCAGCCCATATGGATTATGGGGAGCAACACTTAGGAAAAAAATAATTCAAATACTAATATATTGTATTGGACTTATCAGTATTGAATATAAACATATTGGATAAATAGGTTCTAATCAAAAGGCCTACAAGTTCAATATTGTTGGTCTGATGTTGATTTAATTAACAATCAAAATGTGCCACTTTTAGCTTTTTACAGTCATTATCCGATTTCAAACTCTCAGTATGTTGAGTAAAAGCAACACAAAAACATACTAGAGTCGGAATGTTTTCCTTTCTGAACTTAACATACTGACGTTTTTTTGGACTGGAACCATTTGACTAAGCAATGTTTGTCTGACGTAAACACTGAACACTTGCTTGAAGGCTTGACACATTCCCTTTCTTTATCACTTACTTCTTTGTCACTACAATAAGAGATAAACTGATGAACTAAAGACCTATGAGACAAATGCAGGTTCAAGATACTGTACTACTAGGCTCGCAGCACTGTACATACAAAGATGGGGCCATTCTAATGCCATCATCTGATTATGGAACACGAGGGTTTGAAATGGGAAATACATGAGAAATATATCCAGAAGGGAAATGCATGGACACTAAGATTTGAAAATAGAATGTGCAAACAAGCAGGGAGATAAAGAAGAATATGCTGTGATCTGTATCGGGTAATTTCAGAATGCCAGAGATTACTGGTGAAAACATTATTCATATTGTATTTCATAACGGATGGGAAGTTGAGCAGAGATGAAGCAGGTAACCATTGTGTTGTAATGTGTGTGTGGTTCGGATGCATGTGTGTTTACAACACATGCCGCAGTGGACAAACAGCAGCTTGGCTCCACTATTGTTTACAGTGATCAAAACTGAAGCTGCAACATGACAGCAGACTGCTGGGGCACAGACACATGACGGGGATCGGACTCATTATAGGGAATCCAGTGTGTGTTTGAGTCTATCACTGAGGGCAAGGCCCTTCCATGTCAGTGAGCTGGAAGTGACCCCCCCACCCATGACTTGAAAGTTGCCCTGTTCAGCAGACAAAAGATCTGGCGTTAGCGCCACTACTTGAATCATGTGGAAACGAATACACTCCGACAGTCTGGCCGGGCGGCGCTTACCTTCTTCACAGACAGGGAGAGGTTTTCCAAAATGCGGTCCTTCACTTTGAGTTGATCCATCACTGGTCTGCTGGCAGCTCGGCAGGTTGTCAGCTGACTCCCACAGCGCGGCTCTTGTTTTGCTAACGCTAAAACACCGCCCGCGTTAGCTAGCTAACATGATCCGAAGCAGCTGTATGTCAAACCAACCACAGAGCTGAGGTTGACAGCTGTAAACACGGAGTTGTTGTGGGTTTTTTTCAACGGAACCACTACTTCATAACAGCCATGTTAACGCCTGTGGAGCAGGGGGATGTGTCGACCTCTGTCAGCGGGTGCTGTGAGCTCCGGTTAGCTCAGAGCTGTAGCCACCAGACTTTTTTAACGCTAATCAAGCTGGGGGCGGCTACTTCCACAGTCCGCCTCTGAATAACTGTGACAGGAGCTGTGTCACACTGTCGGCTCCAGCTCTCTGGTTCGTCACCGATCACCACTTTGTGTTGTCTTTATACGTATTTACCAGCAAAGCGCATTACATCAAACTTTTTCGTCTTACTGACCTATATGTTCTGAAATGAGAGGGTGACGTCACCAGCTGCCTCAGTGCGCGTGCGTGGGGAGGAGTGAGGAAGCTGATTCTCATGCTCATTGAATAAAAAACATTCAGTAATGGTGGATCTGAACCATGTGAAATAACCATAGGCTGTAAATAAAGAGGGGCAATAACTCTTACATACAGCGCATGTGCAAGACTCGTGTTTTATCTTAAAATAAACATTGTATATTTGTATCCTCTATAAATCTGCTACCTGCCTATTTGCATTGTTTTTTACTCATCTCTATAAATACAGTGTACGCTTGTCATCTGTTCAGCTCCTTTATGTAAAATGTGTTTTTCTTACTTTATATTCCCTGACATTGATCTAGTTGCATTGCAGGGCTGACCTTTCTTATCCAACACTTATTATTGTATTGTTGACCGTGTTTTCTAACATGCAAAAAATAAACCTTGAAACCTTTTTTGAGTGAGGTCACGCTGCTGTCTTCAGTACGAGCACACAACTTGTTGATCAACTGACACAGTAAAGTAGATTCATGCAAAGGTTTGACTGGTAGCTTCTCAGAACTGGCTCTAGAAATACATTTACTCATCCTGTATAAACTGTACCTTTTTTGCAAAGAATATGTAGATTTAAAAGAGTGTATATTTATATTAATTATGGGGGAAATAATCTACGTACCGATGACCCAGTTCCCATGACAGCATATCACTGTAAACAACATTATGCAAAGCATTAAAATAAGGGTCAAGTCATGGAAACGGCAGGAATTTCTACTGAGTGGAATGTCAGTATTTTATTAAGATGACTCCAGCTTTTTTGGAAACACATTACAAGTCTTATCAAAAAAAAGTTGGCATATTCAGTGCATGTAGTTACCACCAATAATATTTCCTGATTGAGAAAATGTAGGTCAATTTTTAATATGGACTTGTGTTTCAAGGCAAGTGCTCTACTTTGGAGCTAATCCTATCAAATGTAAAGCAACTTTATTCAAACACCGACTGACTTTTGAACATATAATGGGTCAAAGTAGAAAAAAAAAAAACAAAAACAAAAAAAGAAGTAGGATCCCCTTTGGCCTCTAGTTGAGAGCTCCAACAACCGAACAGAAACTGTATTTTTAACAGAGGACTACAGTCCAAGTCCCCGTGAGAGGATTCAAGCCACCGAGACATTCAATTTCAACTCTTCACACCACAAGTTCAAATTTATAATTTCCCCCCATTGTTTATCTGTGTTAGTCTGATTTCTCCTTCTCTTTCATGTGCAGGAAGACTATGCTGAAGACAAAGAGGCCCATCATCATGGAGAAGACGCTGGCGTAGTACGGGAAGGCAGAGGGGATGAAGCGCTCGTACTGAGTGTGCTGCAGTGGACGGACTGATACCTGAGGTAAAGAATCAAATGTAGAAGTTAGCCAAAACATACGCATGGATGTATTATCAAGGAACCCTTTCAGATAACAGACCAAGATTTTAGAAGATTGTCCCACTGGTCTGTTTATTTGCCATCAATACTTTTTTCATGAACAATTTCCATTTAATCAACAAATTTAAATAAGCTATTAATTTGTCTCCCTTTCATGCAAGGAGATGTCCCATGACTAACCATACTGGTGTTTGTGTATGTTCAGGTGAAGAGAACTGTCTGATTAACTTGCCTGGGTGGAGGAGTAGAGGTGTGTGTATCCCAGTCGGTTGTAGTCCACCTTGAACTGGAAAACTCCATATACATCAGGCAACTTGAACTGGATGCTGTATTTACCTCCTAGCAAAAAGCAACACAGTATTTAATGGATACAGACAGATGTGTGAAACTCAAATCATAAGTAATAAATCTGGGTTGTAAACATTTAATACGAAGCTCAGTGTGTTCTGTGAGCATAAATACCATTTTTCTTGAGGTAAGTCCTGACGAAGGGATCGATCCTCACAAACTCGAGCTGAATGTCATCTCCATCAAAGGGGACCCAGCGGCCCTCGGTCAACATCTCAATGACGATGCTGTACTCCTGCGTGGGAAAATTTGACACTGATTGAAGTAGAGTAGAAATACACACCTCCTCACTGAGGCTACAATAAACATAAAGAATGTAAATATTATTAACAATTTAAACTCACCACAAGGTCAGTGATGGTGTACGCTGCAGGGGGAGTGGTCTCTCCCACAGGATGATGGGTAACAGCTCCCACCCTGAGTACACCAGCCTCCTTAAACACCCAACGTGACAGAGCCTCAGCCAGATCCATGTTCCCTGTTTGCTCATACCTAACAAAGACCACAACAAGAAGAAGAAGGCTTCAACCACAGTAGACTCAAATCTGTACCATACTGAGTTTTAATCAAATAATCAATGTTCTTCTGTTTGTCAGTAAAAAGATACAAGAGTCTATTTCCACTCTTTACTTCCTTGGTTTTATTTGAGAGGTTTCAAGTGTAAATTTCTAAATACTGATAATTTGCAAAAAACATCAGCGATCAGCAGTCAACCTTAATCCTTGATATCAACCAATAGCATGAAAAATACCTAACTGTCAATACTGTCTCACATATTACAGGTTAACACCACATGTTTTTAAGTATAATAACAAACTATTTCAATAACTACTTTTAAAAATTAGAAAGTTAGAAAGTAGATCTTAAAATGAACAAATGAAGGATCAAGGCAACATTAATGGACTTACAAGACAATGAACTGAAGCCAACTTAAGACTGAATGAGGACGACTAATGACACAACAAATAACAACTTAACTGAAAGTAACCAGGATGTCACTGACGATAGTTTTGATTTAGTGACGAGAAGCTGTAATAGTGTCAAAAACACGGAATGAACAGGAATGTGATGCACAGTGAGGCCTACCTCTCGGAGCCGGGTGTGGCCTTCTGTACTGCAGAGTTGAAGAATGCATCACTGAAGAAGTCCAGAGAGCCGCTGAAAACCACCCTAGCATTGTTTCTTGCCTGAAGCCCAGCGATCAGCAGGGTGTTCTTGCCAACAGCATGGGGATACTAGAGGGGAAAAAAATGAATGAATGGTAACCTTCAGTAGTTCATTTTTAAAACAGAAAATCTAATGCTATCTTCAGCTTCTGATACTGAACCTACATGCCTATTGCATTTCCAAAGCTACAGATGACAAAAATTAATTGGACTATCCATTCAGGCCTCCAGTAGTTAAAGCCCCACGTCCTTATCTCATGAAGTGACGATAAGACTATTAGCAAATAAGGTGCTTCTAATCAAGCTCAGGACAAAGCAGGATCTTCAAAGTATTAAAATTCTTCTCAATTCATAATCTGGCATTGTGATGATATGTAAGGTATGTTACCTGAGAGATGGGTCTGTCGGGGAAAAAGGAGTAAGAGGTGGAGGAGCCAGTCAGGATGTCCAGGACAAGAGGGTTCTCTGGGTCTGCCACCATGCTGGAAGAGAAGAAGGTGACAGGGTCAGAAAATGTTTATATAGTTTGCACCGCAAGTACTACAAATTAGTAAACAAATGAAAAATCTAATTATGTCTTTTCTTTCCAAAGTTGTTGCAAAAGTCAAAAATAGGGAGATTTTTTTTTTTTTTAACAGGGTAAACATCTAAAACAAGTGAGTGACAGTTTTCATTACAGCTATTCGGAATATCAGTGGTTTCAACATATTGAGTGTTGTTCCAATGTTAATGGCATTAAGTTGTGCTTACCCAACACCCTTGAATAAAACAGGTTTGCCAGTGGGTTTGCCGACAATAGTGGGAGCTTTCAGCAGGTTCTCTGGGCCAGCTACAATCAGGGTGTGCTGGAGAAAAGAGGGATCACTTGTAAATAACAATGTTCTGTTTCAGTTCTTAAAAACAAATGTGGAAAACTAAATGAATAGCCCTGTTGTCTTAAGCAAAATTCAATTCACCTCTCCAGGATCAGACACATCATAGTTGTGATGGTCAATGACAGCAGTTTTCTCCTCATCAAACTCAATGCCACACTCACTGCCCAGCTCCCTCAGCGGGTCACCTGTTTCACAGAAGAAAATCATGAATATATGACAATATTCCAGTGTTTTAAATGATGTAAAATTGGAGCAAATGATGATAGAAACCCACTGACCAATTTCTGAATTGGCAGCAACCAGGACATTTCCTCCCCCATCGATGAAGGATGTAATAGTCTCCACATTTACATTTCCTCCAAAGTCTGCAGATGACCACAAAAATAAATATTGCAAATTAATTCAACAGTGCAAAGGTGCCATGAAACAAACAACTTGATGATGAATAAGTTTCATATTTACCCTCAACTGATGGTGAGAAGATGATTAAATGGTCGTACAGGAACTGGCCATATTTGATCAGAGATAGGGAGGGATCATCGGCTGTCTTGATTGTGAGGTCAAAGCCACGATCTAAAAACGAGAGGTACATTATTGACACAGATGATACAGATAACAAAACAGTTTTATCCAGCTTAAACCAGTTCTCCAAAACTCCTTATGTACATTCTATGTTACCTTATAACGATTGTTGGCTTTCAAACCTTTAATCTCACTACTAAAATGGGAAAGTGGGTTTCCTCTTGGATCTCCTCGCACATCTTTAGGCGAAATAGCTGAAGATTGCATTGGTAAGTGAATCATCCATGCAATAAAACATGTTAAAGTCCTATTTACAACCTTGTGTGGATCCATTTGAGGTTGTTCTAATGTGAACAACTTGGAAATCAGTGAACCAATAATGGAAAATTAGGGCAAAATCGATTGTAAGACATTTATACCGTGTCAATGTATTGGCTATTATATGTGACAGACGCATGCCGTATTAAAGTGTGACCCAGTGCAGATTCAGTGCTGTATTAGTTAACCATACAAAAACACGTAAAGTATCATCATTTGGTTAGAAATGTGTTGAATTGTTAGAGAATTGAATAGAGTTTGGTGAGGCGGAGCCATCACGGTATGGCTAAGCTAAAGTTAGCAGCCTTGATGTGTAAGTGTCGATGTCCGCTAAGGCTTAATATTCCCTGCAGAGAACCGTCTGTAAGAGGCTGGAGCTTGATTGAATGGAGGAGAGTAATAGATGTAAAGAAGCATTAGTCGTGTACGCACCTGCCAGACTGCGGAAGAACATTGAATGGGTGTCTCTGATGTTGAGGTTGTCCAGCAGAACCAGCGTCTTCCCGTCCGCCACAGCACAATGCAACATGGAGGCTAGCGACAGGACAAACAGGACATTGTTGACCGACAGTCTGAACCTCCTCTGGGTCATCGTGGCGGTTCGTTTCTTGCCCGGTGACACAGAACCGGGCCGGTTCGTCTGCACGACTCCTGTCAGCGACGCCATTTTCCTCGCAGAGGTGGACGTCAGCGTTAGCAGCGGAGTTAACTTTGACCCCGGGATCCAGCCAATCACAGAGAGGAACGCGTCATCACGACTGTCACTCGGCCAATGGGATGAAAGTTTTATTATGAAGCCAGACCATCGCGGAAGTGTCACGAATTTGACAAATTTCTTGAATAATCACAAACAGGATCTGGTATTTTCTGACTCACTTGAGTTTGGATAAAGTGCTTATATTATTTAAAATGTTCATACATGTTTGTGTATTCTATTATGCTATGCTAATCAACAGTGTCTCATTTTCCTTACCTTTGAATTAATATATTTTGGTTATTGTTTCATATCAAATACTAGTATGGATATGATTTAGATGAAAATCACAGTGCATCAAAGGGCTGGTCAGACTGCATTGGTTGTTTATTGATCCGATAACTTCCATTGATTCTTAGCAATGTTACCAATATACTAACATGACACTGAACTATCTTCATACCAGCGAGATCGTCTTACTGCAACAAAAGAAAAAAGCTGTCCTCACAATTATGAGGAGAATTGACCTGTTTCTCATCAGCACAAATGTTTTTTTCAATCTTTATCTAGGGGTCATAAGACATCCACAGCATTTACAGTGTTTGCAAGAACATGATTAAATCACCCCTCTGATTTAAATCTTTATTACCTTACATGTCCATCTAAATATTCTTTGTATAATGAGCATTCCATGAAAATATTTCAACTAAATGCAATAAAATATTTTGACTGTTAAGGGAAAATGTACATATTTCACCTGAGTGAAATGAAAAATGAAACAGAGGCGTTTAAGTTATATTAGGACTCAATTGTGATCAAAATGTTTCATAGAAAGGATAAATGCACAATCGTGCATTTCATTCTAAAAATAAACAAACTATACATCGTATAACCTCTACCTCCCTTTCATTTATTGCGCTTCCTCCTCCTGTATAAATTAGATTTCTGCTATAAACAATATTTCATACATCTTTCACAAATCTGCTCCAGTACACATTTTTCCCTCTGGGTGGAGCTCGGTGTGGGTTTCCTCCTCTTATCAGTCAACCCTCCTGACCCGTCTTTTCATATTGTGACTTGTCCACCATCTTTCTGTCTGCCTCTTCCTCTCCTTCATTGGCATGGCGGATCAGTTTTCCCCTTCCTGGATGACCTGCTCAGTTGTGGGCTGCCATGTTGTAGCCGTTTCCCCCTCAGCTGTGGTGGTTGTGGTGTACTGATAAAAGTCTGAATCTGCCTGAAACATAACCAAAGCCTGAGCTGTGTGTATGCGAACATGCTGGGCAAGGGAGCTCGCATCCAAGAATTTATCACCACAGGAATCACATGCGTATAAGATCTGTGTGTTGGGGTCTGGAAACAGAACAGAGAAGATATAAAGTATCAAATCAAATCAAATCGTGCTGTATAATATCCTATCTAAATTTGTTACATGTTATCACACCAACTTCCCCTGATCTTTTCCAATTTACCATTTTACACAAAAGTCCATCAAGTCAGAATTTGGATTTGGTTGGATTTGGTTCATGATTAAATTGGCACTGCACTCGCTGTGTCTGCAATTTGTAGTAAAATCATTTTCATTTGAGAAAACAACAAGCTAATGAGGATTCATAGGTCTCTTGAAGTATTTGTTTGCTCTTGATTCAGTGAGAGTTCTGGCAGTGAATGTTAAATTCTGCATAAAATATTTTTTGTTATCTACACACACGTTGTTATCTAGCAGTTTTTATGAAATGTGTTAATAACAACTTCCAACTGAATTTTAGAATTAATAGGATGTGCACATGGCCAAATACAACGGATTTACATGTAACTCAAAATATATGTTTTTTAGGAGTATCAACATGTTTGAGTTGATATCAGAAGTACTTTTTAGTTTTACCTGCTTCTTGCACTTTCTCTACTGCCTTGGTAATTTCAGCTTTCAAAGCCTCTGTCTCATCTGCAGACACGGAAGCCACCACTGGAACCACTGTAGACAGACAAGTGACACAAGGTAAACAAACATTTATCACTGCCTAAACCCATTCATGCTTCTCTTATCACCTGCTGGGTGCTATCTGCAGCACTTGTCAGGTCCTCTCCAGCCTACACACATTTCTCTGAAAATCACTGGATTCAGTCTTGAGGATGCTGACTGACCTGTCAGCTGAGCCACAGCACTCCCTGCCAGGGCGACGATATCATCTGTGGTAACAGTCACTATGTTGATCTCGCTGTCAGAGTTGGCTGCACCTGTGCACCCATCAGTCCCTTCGTCTGTGCTGCCCGTGGCTACTACCAGCCGCTTCATGCCGGCCTTGCCGTGGTGGACGGTCTTGACGTGGGAGCGCAGATTGTCCACCCGATTAAACCCTCTGCCGCATTTGTCGCACAGGAAAGGTTTCTCCCCTTAGAAAATCGGACAGAATAAACAAAACACTTAAGGGTGAAAGCTGTGAGTTCAACTTGTGTGGAGCAGCAGCAAAGGAGACTGAAGTGTCCATCAGTCTCCTCCCTGAAGCAACATAATAATTTGGCACAGATTTTGCCCCTACCTGTGTGTATGATGATGTGCTTCGACAGGTCTCCCACATTGACAAATGCCTTATTGCACATCTGACATTTGTGTGGTCGGACGTTGTCATGATGGCGAATGTGATTGGCCAATTGACTGGACTGAACAAACCTGTGCAGAGAGAAACATAAGATACATTGCCCATCTAGCTTCCTGTATTCACTTCCTGACGTATGCATTTAAAGCAGAAACTGAGAGGCAAACTCCTCTACTGGCAATGGAAAAGGAATGAATCGCCTTTTTAGCAAGCTTCTAAAACCTGAATATAAAGAGGTATTAAGTACAATTGAGTTTTGAAAACTGAGCCTAGTATTACTGCATCGCTCTGTCTACTCTGTCATGCCACTGACCTTTTGCCGCAGCGATCACACACATAAGGCTTCTCTCCCGTGTGCTGGCGGACATGAGCAATAAGGGAACTGGCCTGGGTGAAGGCTTTGCCACAGACAACACAGACGCAGGGCTTCTCTCCTGTAACAAATGAATTACTGTCTCAGATTACAATATAATTGTGCAGTTCCACAATGTAAAATGAGAATAATGCATGTTGCCTTCACATTCTATAGTCTGCTTGAATGTGATGGGAGTACCTGTGTGTATGCGTTCATGCCGTTGCAGAGCTCCAGGATCACTGAACGCCCTCTGACAGTGCATACAGGTGTAAGGTTTCTCCCCACTGTGAACCCGCAGGTGTCTCTTCAGATTCCCTACACAGCAGACACCATCACACAAAGGTTAGACTGAATGACTAAAAGCTAAGAAACAGCTACACAAGTTAACGTCCTCTATATAAAGTGCACACTAGATGAAAGCAGCAGAAAAAGCTCAATGAAATAAAAATACAGTCAGACTGACGCCTTAATGTAATTCTTGTGAATGGTAAATATGACATTACAATATCTAGAAAGGTTCATGTCAGAACCTGATTGTATAGCAGCTGATATGGAATTAAGGAATTTGAAAAACAGAAAAGAATCTGAAATGTTTTCAGCCACTTTCTCAAACCCTAATAAATCCCCAATAAGCATTCACCTTTAATTCATAGTTGGCCCCTCTGAAACTTTCTGCCTATAGACCAAATAATCCACTTGTTTCAGAGAAAGACACTAGCAGATGTAATCAATAAATTAAGACTGCTACATCAGAATGAACCAGATAATGGTATCCCAATTCTATTTTTTAGATATCAGCTGAAACAAAGAAGAAAGTAGAAACTAACAAAGCATAACATCTCCGTTTTAAGATTTATCTGTTCCTCCTCTTTGACCAGATGGGAGTTAATGTTCGCTGTCACTGAACTGATCTTTACTGTTCTCGCTTTAGGTCTGGGGGGATCCACATGCCACTATTACTTCTTTGATAGGTAGAGTTTCTATTGGTCTTCTTACCTGAAGTGGTAAACTGTTTGCCACATTCTTTGCATTTAAGAGGTCCATCTGTAATGTGGATCTTTAAGTGAGCCTTAAGATTTCCCACCTAAAGAGAACACAACACAGTCAGACTCAAAACAGATTGTTCTGAAACACAAATTTGGAAACTAAATGTTTAAGGGACTACCAAATTAAAATTGAAGTTATCAAAACACCTTTCTGAAAGTCATAAAAAGGTAAGCTCGTAATGCAAAAGAAGAAGAAACGTTGTGTTTTAATGAAGAAAGGTGTAATTATGGGGGCTATATTTCCAAAGAAGAAAACTTCACAAATGTGCCGTTACCTGGTTAAAACGCTTTTCGCAGTGCGGACATTTGTTGCCCTTCCCCATATCGTGCGTCTCTAGATGTCTCATCTTGGCGGTGGGGTCAGAAAAGGCCTTATCACAGAAGTCGCAGTTATAGGGCTTCTCACCACTGTGCACCAGCTGGTGCCGCTTCAGGTTGCCAGACGTGGTGAAGAGCTTGCCGCAGACGTCGCAGCTGTAGCGTGCTTCACCTGTGTGGCGCTTGCGGTGCAAGTTGAGCAGACTGATCTGGCGGTAGCTCTTTCCGCAAATAGAGCAGCAGTATGGCTTCAGGGGGCTGGGAGACAATAACTCAATTTAGGGCTCAAGCCGGAAAGAGCTCAGTGGGCAGGTGGGATGAGAAAGACCGACGAGTAAAGTACACATCTCTGAATAAAAGAAGTCATTCACCTGTGTGTTTTCTCGTGGGCTTTACAGGCTGCTGGGTCCGAGAAAGCTTTATTGCAGTCCCGACAGCTGAACGGCTTCTCTCCTGTGTGAATACGCATGTGTCTCTTGAAGTTACCAGTGTGGGTGAATTTTTTCCCACAGTCCTACAGAGAAGAAAATATGTCACTTGACAAAAAATTTAATGCCAAGATTGATATGCAAAAATATTGAAAGAATAATTAGTACAAAGATTGCTGACTACACTGCTTCAGCTGAATGTGCCTGTGGTTGTCTTTTTCAAAGCTCAAAATCATGATGACAAACATGTAAAGCTTACCTCACATTTGTGTGTCACAGAGCTGTAAGGCTTCGACTCGGACCGGTTGCTCATTGACGCTGACTGAGTTTGTCTCCCCTCTATCTCGCTGCCGGAGTCAGCTCCTTCCTCCTGCTGGCTGACCTCGCCATCTTCCTCTCCATCCTCATCGTCATCATCAACTCCATCACCAGTCTCCACAAACTCATCCTCCTCTCCTTCAGCCATCTCTGTCGGCTCCGACACTTCCGCCTCAGTTTTTGTCTTTGACGTGCCTTCGCCCTCTGAGTCACTCTCTATGCGGGTGGAAATAGGGATGCATGAAAATAACATATTGTCTAGAATTTAGAATAGAAATTGTTATAGTTAAATACATATATATTAGTTAATACTTTAAATAAATACAGTTTAAAGTCTTGTGGACAGAGGGGTTGTCTACAGTGATACAGCAGAGCCATCTTGTGCTCACCAGTTTGGAAGTTTCGTCTCAGAGGTTTTCTGATTCTTCTCCCTCGAGAGCTAGTGTAAGATGAGCTGCCACCAGATTTTAACTCTAATCCTGTAAATACAGAGAAAGTACCAGAGTTTATTTGTTGAATAAAATGAGCAAAGCTATTTACAGTTTATTTGTATCTGATGAAAGCACACACGCCAAATAGACTTCCTGTAGGTACTTACTGGGTGCAATAGTGGTGTCGCAGGGGTCATCCTGAAATCCAGGTGAATCTTGTGCAGTGCCTTCTACGGTCTTTTCACCAGAAGGGGGCGTGGTTTCGGGTGATTGTGCTGCAGGACTGGGCTGAGAAGCAGTCTGTTGAGTTTCTGTAAAGGTGTCTTCCTTTAAATTGTCCTGATTTTGCGTGGGTTCCTTATCTTCTGTGATAATGCAAGAAGTGCATGAAGCACTCTGCTCTGCTTGTGCTGCCACTTCAGCCATGTCACTCTCCCGCTCCTCTTTCGGCTCTTTTTCTAATAAAATGGCACACAGTTAGATGATGTCAATATATGTCAGACTCTATATATTCTTATTTGGATTACAACGTAAAATCTAAAGCTGATTTCAGACATGAACAGCATGCAGGGGACACACAGCGATCATGTGTTTTTATTTACAGCACATGACACAGGTGAAGACCCTTATCACCAAAACTCTCGGATCTTGTTGTCTCTCTAAGTGGACTTCATCTATGTGCATGGCTCCTCTTTTTCATCCTCAGATATTTACATTCTTTTTGGATTTTGTTCTTTTCGTTTTTGAGTCCATCACTTGTTAGAAATGTCATAAAGGCGCCCATTCACTTGCAGTGAACTCTGAGGATAATCACCTGCTGTGAGAAACTGAGAAACTTTAGATAATGTCAGGAGGCCCTTACTCGGTCGTTTGCTTCCTCACATACAGAACCTCTGGGAGAATATCAGGAGATCATAGCTCAGTGCATGTCTGAAAATGACTTAGAGAGCAATGTGAAGACTGAACTCACCAACAGTGAAATCCAGTGTTATGAGGGAAGGAACTGGATTTGCCATTGACTGGTACGCAGAGCAGGCATTTACAATCTCTTGCATTTGTAGAAAGTTAGCAACGGCCAGCACGTCTTCAACATTCTGTGAACTTAAACTCAGCTTGGCTGTGTACATGAACTCCAGGACCTGACCCAAACCTGCAACAGGAATGAGGAACACAATTAGTCGAGCAGAGAAGACAATAGAGATGATGAGGTACATTTGCCATTATTTAAGCAAGGTACTGGAGATGGTGTGAAAAATCAAAGCACTGAAAGATTAAAAAGACAAAACAAATGAAAAAGTGTACAGACGTGTGCCCAAAGCAAGGCTGGAACCTACCTGCTGCATTGCTAATGTCCAGATGCACCACATCTTTCTGGTCCAGGAAGAGGGTGCGGAAGTAGATGCTGCAGGCTGCCAGCACAGCTTTGTGGGCCTTGAAGTCCACCCCGTCCACGACAAAGGTGCAGTCACACAACAGGCCCTGCTTGCGCTGCCGGTTAAGCTGCTCCAGGACCTTCCCGCTGTGCCACGGGAACTCCATCGTTCTGAAGATGGAGGATGGTGCTGGCAGCCAGGAACCTTCTCTGTGGACCAGTGACAAGTCATAATGTGTGACATTGGGTGAGGTTCAAATGGCTAATATGCTAGGTGACATTGTAAATGGTCTAAATGCTGTGTATTTATATAGCCCTATTCAAAGCACTTTAAAATACAGTTTTGCCATTCACCCATTCACATACAGTGCATCTATGTGCAGCACTGTCATTCACTGGCCTTTTTTAAACAACACCCATCAATCTGTGTCATTTGACATGATGATGTCTCCTCCCTGAACTTAGTGAAGCTGTAACTAATGATTCAGTCAACAGACCAGAGTAATCGCTCCATGATTTGAGATGTGAGTGTTAAGTGAACAAAACAGTAAATATCAGCAGTCAAAAGTCACACATGTAACACTGACATTATACATTTGCATGGAATTTAAATTAATGCCACAAACCATAACTTTGGATGTTTAAATCACAAAATTTTTTTCATTATTTACTGCAATAAATCACCTTGTCTTTAACACTATGTAGAGCTGCACAATATAGCTTAAAATTATATCTTGATACAAGTTAGTGGAGGTAGATGATTATCACAATAAATGTCATATTATTATTATTATTATTATTCATTTACTATTTTTATTTATATAATTTACTTTAGGTTTACGGGCTGATTCTATGCTCCTGATTGAATTGTGTGGATTTAAACTCTTTTGTATAAGCAGAGAATGACAAACACTTGATAAACATTTTACAGATCTGAAATAGATCAATTATGTGCTTAGACAAGGCATAAGTATTTTATCAATATACATTCGTTTTTTATGAAAATCATATTGATCGCCCAGGTAAGAAACTCCGAAATGACTGCATTTCTCAATATCCTCTTTTCAAACTGGCAGTTAGAACAACTTCAACAACCCTAGAACATGGTAGATCATTATTCATGTGTAATTATCCAACGCAATGGAATGATAGCAACTGTGTAATGATCACAAGATTACATCCATGGGTTGTAATCAAGACAGTTTACAATGCACACTGCTCTTGTGTGTGTTGAGGTGTGTCTGTCTGTGTTAGTGATGCATTCATCTCGCAGGTGTCTAGTCTGCGTTGTGTTGTGTTGTTAAACTCGTGGTTTTAGATATTGTCAGGCTTCTTTTCCTACGTGACACCACCGGAGAATGGCAGAGAGAGAGAAAGACAGGCCCTTACCCCCAAACTGTAACTTATCAAGAATTGGAAATACATGTGAGGTAAATGTGTGGCACCTGATGGGACATGATACCGTCAGTAACTAGACATTAGCCAGAATAACCCGAGAATCAAGCTTTAACTGGTGTCGTGACGTTTTAGTCAAAGCAACACCTACTCTCGAACAGCACCGAGGAGTTTTCGAGACCGTGACGATCTTTTCTCTGAACTTTTAAAAGATTAGTTTGACGGTGCATCGATTACAATTCCTCCATCCTTGCAGCTTTGTTATCCGGGATTAATTTAGCATGCCTTGACATGCATGTATTGCAGGAACAAGATGGCGGCTCGGGGAGTCAGGCCTGTGTTCATCCCTTGTGTTTTCCTCAGCTCGCTCTCCCCAGGCTTCGGTGAAGCGCCATTTTAAGAGAAACCAACTCGAGCTTTACCTCCGTGTAGTCTGCTCTTCACTCCGGGTTCAAACCCTCCAACCAGGCGCTGTTTCACTGTCTTTGGCTCAGTTATGAACAGCGATCCCAATCGAGTTTTTCGGTGATCGATCCTGCGGCGCTGGGTCCATCCACCGCCATCTCTCTCTGATCGATTGATAGAGACCGGGCGGATGTTTCTGTGGAGCATGCGCAGTGTGAACACACGCTGTCGCCATGATGACCGCGTGGTGGCGCTAAAGGCTCTTTCTGATTTCTATGATTAAAAAGAATGGGGTTTTATTCTGCATGTGACTCACAGCACTATTTCTTTGTACTCCCTTTATATTTCTGGCCAAGATCCACAAACATAACGGCAAAGCACTGAAAATTAAACTTTCTTTTTTCGATTTGATGAGTTCAATGTTCACCTCCTATGATAGAAAAGCTGTTTACACATCCAATCTTTGCACCAATTGTTTTTTATTAAATTAAAATAGCATTCACAATACATAGAAGAACACAAACTCAAAATAACAAAAAGCACAGCATTAACATCTGGAAATTATTACATATCAGATGTCAACTGTGCAATATTCGCTTTGCTATATTCATCTGTGCAATATAAACAGTTCATGTGCAGTTAAGTCACTTTAAAAATCCTCACACTGCATATATTTCTTCCTGTCTTTACACTGTATATACTAGTTTCTATATGTGTTTATATTCCTTACACTTAGGTATTGCATGTTACTTATTACTTGCTGATGTCTTTTTGACTCTTGCTGCTGTAACACTGCAAATTTCCCCATTATGGGACTGTTTAAGGACTTCTTATCTTATCAAACAAGAAAGTAGAAGTATCAACCCAGACAAAAAAAGACTGTATGAGGAGTGTAATTTATATGATATGATTAAAGCTTTCCCCCAAAAATGTGAGGCCACAGAGTTGTAGTTCAAAACAAAGTTATGACAAAACCTAGTTACACAGTGCAAGTAAAAAAGCATAAAAACTCAGTTATCAAGGAATAACTAAAAGAATAAAAACAATAAACTTGTGCCAGAAATTTAAGCATGGTCGCCAATTACATTAATAAAAACTACATTTGGGTAGAACCAATACATTTTACAAACTTCTTAAAAGCACTCACGCTTGATGTGTGTGATATTTACCAATAGATAATTAACTGTTTGTAGAATATAAGTGTGTGTTACAGTTCAGATTTGAGATCAGATCTGACTAAATTCCACCAAGAATATTTGAGATTCAAAAATAAATGAGAAATAAGAGGTGCCTAATAGTAAACACACACAAAACTAGTTAACTCTTCCCAGGCTGTCTTTGAAAAGAAATATGAAAGTAGTGTAATTTATGCTTTCTAAATAATGATGCACAATCATCTTTACCTTCACTATCTGAATGAAGTGCACCAAAATGCAAAGGCCACAGCACAAAACAGAGGAGCAAAATTATAGCCACATAACAAAAGGCTTCCAAATTATTTTTGCTTGAATGGTGCCTTTGAAAATCTTTTCTCATAAAATCAGGACAGATGCTTTGGAAATGCCTTGATACACAAAAGACTGAATAGAAGCACCTCCCATTATCTGAAGGGTAGTTGAATGCAGCTCTGTCTCTATTGATTGTAAGAGGAGTTTGCCACATGATGCTCACAGCTCATCCATCTTCAAACTGCCTGGATGTATGGTGTAGAAAATTGCAACCAGGTCAATCAAAATTTCTGAAAAGAATAGGTTTAATTTACTGGAATGTAAAATCAGTGATGACCAGAAAGATCTAACTCTGTCAAAAAGAAAAGTGTGAGGTTTATCATAGGGTCCATTGAGTTTCATATGTTCATGCTTAATTTCGGTTGCTTGGGAGGCAGAAGGGGTCGTCCACTAACCAGAGGGCAGATAAAATAATGAGTATAGGAATATTGGAATCAGTATCAACTAATACAAAGTGATTGAGCTCTTTCCCCAAACCACATGTATCAGGCTGAATGGGAAACAGAAGGCATCAGCATGTTTATTGTCAAAGAATGAGTATTTTATTCACACAAATAATGCAACAGAATAAATTATTAATGAGAAACCATCAATTTTAAAATTCAGAATTTTGTTAAGTTCTAACTTAGATAAGTTGTCGAACTGTGTTATACAACACAAGTGAAGTACTGGACTGATCAGTACAGTGTATGCTTGTCCAAATGCTGTACATGTCCAAGCTTCTACGTCTCAGCCTGTTATTTGCAGCTATGACCTATTGCAGCTGTGTCTGGTGAACTATCTCAGACTTTAAATGAGTTGCAGACTCAGAGGGAGGACGTGGTTGGTTTTACGGCGCACAGTGTGAGTGTTACATGTAGAATGGTTTCAGTGAAGACAGGAAATCAAGGAAGTTGCATAAAAAAAACACAAGAAATCTGGTGTTCTCTAGATCTTGATCTCGGTGCGGAAGGTCTGTACGAGCTCGTGTTTGGCTGGGTGTCGCCGGGCCCGGACTGTTAGGGTTCCCTCTGCGTCCAGTGATGACGTCACTGAGGTGGGGTCTACATCCTCAGGTAGCTGGCACTTGTGGGTGAATGTGTTCATCACTGAACCGTCCTGGGCCAACTGTTGAGGAAGAAATAAGAGATTCAGAGAGTGAATGTAACTGTGACACCTATGATGGCAACAGATTGTCGTCCCAGGGATCCAGCATGTGACTATGATCTGTTTTTCATCACTTGCACACACAGCTACCCACCTTTTCCGCGTGAACTTCTATCTGGTTGTTGGATGTGGTGACAATGACGTCTTCAGGGGAGAAGTCTCGCACGTCAACTGTGAACTGGTACGAATCCCCGAGAGTTTTAATGTTTCCAGCTCCACCTGAAAGAACGACAAGATGAGAAAGCTTGTTTGTGACCTTAAACGAAACAGGGTTATGAAACAACTCTGATTTGGTTTACATTCCCTGCCACTGAAAATAACTTCCCATCTCAGTGAATTAAGCACCATCACTGGTAATTATAATAGCTGCAGGCAGTGTTTCATTAGGGACTGAGTGAAGACATGTTATTTGATTTAATAGACTGCACCATATGTAGTAAGTAATTTTGTTCATCCCAATAATCCTGTTGAATAGTTTCAATTAAAAAAAATGAAGGTAAAATCATTATTTATCTTTTCAGACACGTTTTATTCTCTTTTCTATTTTTAGTATTTCATTATTTTTGCACAAAACGGTCATGTATATTTATATACACACACAGGGGTTCAATTGGATAAACACATACATTGTATAAGATCTGTGAACTTTTGGTGAAAATAATTGAATGTAATGACTATTTATAATTAAC